ACTTCGATTATGTCTTGGCCTGCTCCGAACGCAGTCATGACTGCACGAGCCATGCAAAGCATTGCCAAGATCCGGCGTCGCAGGAAATCTGTGGGGAACCCATAGGAAACCCCAGGAAACCATCGGAAACCAGACCGGAAACTTTCAGAAACCCTTACGAGGGAACAGATTCACTTTTGAGGAGCATATCTATCTAGAATTCATGGGAAACCATAGCAGGCCATGACAAACATGTGGAAAACGCAGGAAACCGCAGGAAACGTGTGGGAAACCCACAGTAAACCATCGGCAACCAGACCGGAAACCATCAGAAACCCCGTACGAGGAACAAACTCATTTTTGAGGAGCATATCTATCTAGAAAATCATGGGAAACCAAAGCAGCCCACAATTATGGTGTGGAAAACGCTCGGAAACCTGAAGGAAACCGCAGGAAACCCATGGGAAACCCATAGGAAACCAAGGAAACCATCGGAAACCAGACCGGAAACCATCGGAAACCCCTATGAGGGGACAGATTCACCCTTTGAGCATTTACAAAAGATTCATGCAAAGGGAAGGGGGTGAACTGCACCGTCGACAGCACTCCACACTTCATCACCCCAGCCAATCGCAGTATTATACTTCCACTCGTGCCCAAAGGGTGAACAAGTTCTTCCGGACCTGTGTTTTGGAGAGCACGCACGGCAAGACAAGAATGCTTTCACATTGCTGATGAACCTAATTGAAATCCTTTATGTAACTGAGGTCTCACGTGCAAACTTCTGTCGGCTTCGCTGTACATATATTAGTCTATACTAATATGGCTAATATGGCTAATATACTACTATGTACAGTCATGTACAGCATTGACAGCAAAGAATGAGCCTACCAAGACCTAATGTATGTGAGTCTCCACGACAAAGAGCCAAGAAAAGCTTTTCAAGCGCAAGTGTCGCGAACATCTGCTGGGGCTTGAACCAACCGCGCAGGCCCCGAAGCCATCATCACATGTGAGCAACGGCCTCCCGACAACTCTTGCACGGCTTGCCCCTCTCAACCACGCCGTTCGTAATGGGCACCCTGGCCAGCAGGAAAATTTGTTCGAAAATCGGCGAAACTTGGAAATCTCACGATTCCCAAAAAATCAAAAAAAACACAGTGTTTTTTTTATTCTTATGAATTCAATTGTGTGGTCCACGATGTGGACCGGAATCCTTACAAAATCAATTGTTCAAAACAAAATAAAAAAAAAAAACACTTTGTGTTTGCTGTTTTTTTTCAAGAAATCACTGATTCTGCCACATTCTCATGTGGCCGGAAATCTGATTTCGCAAATATAGTGAAAGAAACAAAAATTACACAGAGTTTTTTTGATTTTTATTTGAATCCTCTCTCTCTCCCTCTCCTCCTTTCTCTCTCTCTCTCTCTCTTCCTGCCACGTGACAGCGTATTCAACTGATTCAACAGGACAAAACATTCAGCAACTCGGAATCGGAGCGCAAAGACAACAGCATTATGGTCACAAGCACACACAGACACTTGTTATCACACATGGAAAACCATAAGAAGCAGCAACCAGAAATCAGAAATCGAAGGAATTGCCAGTCAAACATACCACAGCTGCCAGTTGAAATGACTTGAAAAACACATAAAACACTGCAAAATCATTGTTTGCCTGAGACCAACACACTGCTCAAGAGCAAATTGTAAATAATTTTTTTCAATAAAAATTCGTAAAATATTTCGTAAATTAAACATGAAAGTTTGCATTTCCGTAAATTTTGTCGAAAATTATCGGAAACAGAATTTGAATAAAATAATCCAGGTCGAGCCTGGTGCCTGCCTCCGTGAACTTTAGAGTCTAGAGGATTTTTCTCAACGGAAAATGCTGTACAGCTGAGAGATCCTGGGTCTGCGAGAAGTGAAGGAGATGTTGTGTTTTGTCTAGCAGCAGTCTGGTAATGTCTGTAGCCATGGATCTTGGCTGGGAAACCGTAGAAGGGCACATCGGAGGGAAGTTGCTGCATCCCTCACATGCGCAGTCGGCTTTGTCTTTGCGGCAGAAAACCCTCGCAGTTGTCTGGTCTGCAGCTTGCACAACATCCCAGCAACTTTGCTCACCATCACCAAAGCGAGCTCCAGCCTGCCTGCCGTTCCTGCAACTCCTAGGCTGCGCGGGGGAATACGTTGAAAACGAAAGTCCTGTGCTGGGGCTGAATTGCAGTGTTGCAAACCTGCGTATCTGAAGTGCCGTCACAACCTTCGTTAATGCATCCGTGAGGGCACAAAAAGGTTGACTCTAGGCGTTCTGTTAAAGAGATGTAGCGTTCGATGTTTATCGGAGTATCAGGAGTGCTCTTGATTGTCTGAATGCCTGGAAGAATTGCTTTGCCATTTATTCGGCTAGAAAGACAAATTTGATGAAGCTAGTGGAGCTTATAGACAAATAATTGGAAATTGATTGCACGTCGGCTTTGTCTAATTGTGCCATGTTAAGAAGATGGTTCATAGTGCCGCCAATTGGTTTCTTGGTGCAAAAGGGAGGAACTTGGTGAATTAGAACCGTACTTTTGTGCATTTGGATCTCGTGTGCAGATGGTGGCCACCGCATTCGTTGCGAAGTTTGCGCTGGTCTGTCTAACAATCGGCCTTGGCACACACACTTTTTACTCAGTATGACAGCCTCCTTGCAACCCATCAGCAAAGACAGCTCTCTCAAATCTCGATGGCATCAGGTCTCAGAACTCCACTCTTCTTAGCCAAAACCAAAAATGACAAGTCACCTTCTTCGAAGGATGTGGACTCAGAAAGAACTTAAGACAATCCAGAAAAACCCCGAGTCTTTGTGCAACTCGACGACCTAAGAAAGAGGCCCACTTAAATCCAACTTAGGCCAATTTTTAAAATTTCTCCATGGCAACCGATGTTCTCCTTCTCCCAGACATCACCAAAGATAGCATCAAAAAAAGCTTTCGAGGAGTGTCACGCTAATTTTGTTGCCCAGCAATTGCTCAAGTCTGGAACCATATGGTAGGAACCTTAGTGTCTCAGATCCAGGTCCTAGAAAAAACAGAACACTGTGACTCAAAACCAGCCTATCCTCCGCAGTGCGCAGCTTGACGTCTGCTCGTGTGTGCCTTGGTCTTGTTGCCAACGCAAATATGCAGACAGCGTTTCCGGACGTAAAGAACCACGAGCAGCTAGAATTCTGGTTCTTGACCATTCTCGACATGGGTCATCTCGGCGTCGGAGGACCTCAATTGGCTTCTATCTTGGTTGTACACTTATTCGCTGCTGGTCGAAGCAGACACGGGGTGCCTTGTACGGGATTGGTCCGTGAAAGGTCTAATTATTGCACGTCTGATGCGGACCAGTTTGCGAGACCATGATGCGGCCAGTACGCTTTTCTATTTTTGTAATTTCTTCTGAGTGGAGCGTGGTTGAACCTCACGGCCACTGCGCAACTTGTTGCGAAGTCTGAGCCGAGCAATTCTTTTGAATTTTTGAAGAAGCTTGAAATTTTTCTTCAAGGGAACTTGAGGAGAGGCTTCAAGCCTTCAAGCCTCTGCGAGAATTCTGGATTCGAATCCAGAATTCTCAAATCGAATTTGAGATCGCATGGAGTCGCAAAATCTCCATAAAGCGAGTTCGCTTTTTTTTTTGTGCTTGTAAGTCTTATTCTCTTATTCTTCGCAAAAACCCTGTATTCTTTCCTTTCATTTTATTTTCGAAGCTTCTCAAGAAAGCTTCAAGGGTTTGAGAAGGGGCTTGAAGCGCTCTTCGAGAATTAGGAGACCTCCTTCTCAAGCCTCCTTTTGGTGCGTGTTCAATCCCTCTTTGAAGTCCCTTGAGAAGCTTCCTTCAAGCCTCCTTGAAAAACTCTGCCCCTTTGAACCTTCTCACCCTCCCCCCGGGCAGAAGGCTTCTCAAGCCTCCTTCGAGAAGCCCCCTTCTTTCTCAAGCCACTATCTGTTTTTGTGATGTGCTTCAGCTGAAATGTGAGCCTTCTTCTCCATCCAAATCGGCAACGTGTTTATGAAGTACCACATCCACACAGCCTGTTGTTGATATGCAGGTAGCAAAGCATCCTTGCAAGACTTGCGTTGAATGAACACTTGCTGTGGAAATGTGTCACGTGAAAGTGAGCGGAAACTTTTTTGAAATGAAGGCAAAAACATGTTCAGAAGCAACGCAATGCGGTGGTAATGCACTGATTTGTGAAAAAAAGACTTGCCAATCAGAGTTCTAAAATGGGTGAAACAAGCTGACGTGAATAATGGTGATGGAGCTTCAGTTTCGAGCAAACCAGTGTTTTAGAAAAAATGTGCGCGGAGGGTGTCACCACAGTTGTTTTTTGGCAACTAGGAGTTGCAGTAACAATGGTAGTTTCAGACGAAGTGTCGTTGTCTTGCATCCCCAGAAGCTCTGTAGTAAAAACTGCCTCGCTGACATGCTTGTTGCATGTGAGATGCAAATCATAGCCGTGGGCCGCGTACCTTGACCAGTACGACAACCAAGTGTGGCGAAGAAAAGCCACCAAGGGGACGGCAGCGATCGGTAATCCTGCTGTTTTGCTTTGAATCGAATGTGGTGTAGCTTGGATGTGTCGGGGGAGATTGAGGCCGAATAGTTGCCTATTGTCACGACTATCTGTTGTAACAGCTGTTCTTGGTAGCAATTGTTGGTGTTGCTTGTTGTTTGGGTTCCTGCTGCTGAACAACGAAGTGCAGATGTTAAGCAGTACATCACAAGCCGCACTAGCCAACCATGAAGCAATAACAGCATCAACACGCTTGAGTTGATGGAGCACAATAATCATGGTGTCGCATCGCAAACATGTCCAACGTAAGCCCGCTTGTGGCATCGCATGCAAGCAAGCATTCCAAGGCACCAGCTTGATTGAAAACTGTTTTGCACATGGGTTTGGATAAGTTTGTTACGAGTGCCTGGCCAGGGCCCTTGAAATTGTCTCAAATCAACGAGTGTGGTTCTACAAAGTGGGAGCCTCAACTTTGGCAGATGAAGGCATCGACCAGAACCAACCGGAAGCTGAAAAGGTCCTTTTGGGGGTCCTTGGATCGGCGAGGCAGTGTTTTGCGATATGTGCACTGCTCTCAGATGTGGCACAGCCGCAAGATCTCTTATTGGTCCCAGACGCACCGCCGAAATTTAGCGTAAGCTGCGTGCCCTCCACGATGGAATTTGCTGGTTTGCTGTTGATGACACAGGTTGTGCACGACACCTTCGCACGTATTGACAACACAAGCTTGCAAGCAAGGAGTTCCAGTCAGATGACCACAAACTTGAAGAACAACTCATGGTTCGGAGATGGTCGCACTTCCAAAACACGTTGCGTCCGTCTCTTCAGATTGTCCCTGCAATTGTCAAGCCAAGGCCCGACTTTGCATCAAAGAATGCGGAGGAGACGTTGCATGCTGTCGCACACATGTGCCATATGTGCCTAGTCGGAGTACGTTTGCTTACATTCGTTGCCTCTCTTTGTTTGCGGGGTTGAGCCTTGGCGGGAAGCTTTCATGTATCGCCAAGCGCTTTGTGCAGCTTCATGATCTACGGCAACATGCTGGCAAAAAAGATTTGGGGTAATCCAATGATGTTTAGAGAAGGCGGTTGCTTGGTTCGGGTGGTTGGTCATGCTGCCTTCACCGGCTGATGCTTGAAGTCGTACTTGTCTTGAACTTGCAGAGCTTCCATTAATTCTCTTTCTGTGAGGAATGGCCAGGTGCAATTCGAGTTATGACTGAGATGAGAAAGTTTCACGATGGCTGAGAGACAAGCTTGACCACATCAGCTTGATCCCGATCATCAGGACTGGCTGCGGAGGCTTCGCTCATTGCCGTACACACAGGGACGGGTGAAAGTGCTGCATGGCTGCATGGCTGGGGATGTTAGGTTTTGAAATGCGGAAAAGAGGAGGATATTTTCAAGGCAGTTCTTGTCACACTCAGCAGCTTGTCTGCCGAGGTTTGGCAGGGACTATGCTGAGCCCAGGCTGACCTGCTACTTCGGAGCATCTTTGCAGCAATTCACGTACAATCCGACGCTTTGGAGTCCAGCTTTAGTTTCGTGGGTGGGACTGCCGATAAACCCAAATGTTTGCAACATTGAGGACAAGGCCTACACCTACTCCGCGAGGACTATCAAGCCGTTGCCTTGGTCACGTGCCCCAGTTCTCCAGGACTTCTGCATTAGCACGCTCAGAATCACAATTCTTGGCAAGAACAGATTCGACATTTGTCTGCGGCAGTAGTGGTGATGAGGACATTCGAAAAGAAGTTGAAAACATCACAGGTGCGACCAAGACTCGGTATGCTTATGTGGTTGCTGCGGCACTGCTGCGATGCGTGACTCATGAATACAGGTTCCAACGTTGTTCGGGAGGGAGATTTGCACAGTGTCTGATGTTTGCATGCTCATTGTTCGAGTCGGAAGGTGAATCTTTCAATTCGGTGCTTTGCAACAGATACAGGACCCGCTGATCCTAACGCATGAAGCAGTCGAGGTTGGAGCTCTGCTATGTTTGTTGAACAGTAAGTAAGGTCTTGTAGCCTCATGTGCTTGTACCTGCTAGGTTGGCACATGGCTTAGAGCAGACTTGCGTTTCACTTTCGTCAGCTTTTGACACCGGGAGGAATGGAGATGACACGGTGGGATGGTCTCTTGCCGAGCACACAAATTGGCCTCTGCTTGTCAGCGTGGCAGCTTTGAGCAGCTCCTCCAGGCATGCGGACAATGAGCCAATCTACGGGCCGCAGCCGACAATCGCATCAGTGGCCCATTGTGCAACTTGTATTTGGTTGCAGCTTTCAGTCGAAAGATGGCCATGTAAATTTTCCTGCCTCTTGTGTAAGGTCACCTTCGGTGCGGAGAGGGACTTCGACCTGAAAGAGTGTGGCTCAGCAGCACCGTCGCAGCATGGAGGTCCTGACGTGACATAGGCTTGATCGAAAAGTAGGCCCAGCAAAACGGGCTTTGCACGATCTTGATGCTTTTTTCGAGGGGTTGTCGTGCATCACCTTTCAGGCAGCAAAGGATCTTCTCGAAGTGCGGGCAGGCTGGATACTGCCATGGGCAGTTCTGATTCAGACGTGATACGGACGATAATGCCGTTGATTCGACAGGATTCGGATCCGGCTCGCACATGGCAGTCTTCTGGTCAAGATCTCAGCTGTATGTTGCCCAGGGTTGTGAGGCTTCATCGATTGCACTGGACTGCTAGCCGGAGCCCTGCCAGCATCGAACATGTACTCCCATGCGAGGTAATGTCTGGAGCCACACAAGAATGCTGGCAGCACTCACTGCCGAGGAGGAAAGGCGTCAAGGACTGGTCTGCAGCTATATCACGCAGCCCGCGGAAAGTCCTCAACAAGACTTCGAGATCCCTACCAGTCCGCTTTTTCGACACTTGAGCTGAGCGTTTTGGACCAAGTCATTCTGACCCTGTGCAGGACGAGCGGATCAACTTGACTTTTCGCAAAGTCCTTGATTGAGTCTACAAAAAGCTTGCACCAGGTGTTTGCCAAAGGGGACGACCAAGTACAGGGATCGCAAGCATCGCATGCGTGCCGGTTCTGCTTTGGCTCTCTTGTCAGCGCGGGGTCGGTCTCTCCCGATCTTGCATCCATGGCCTGGTGCCGAAATGCAGCCGTCGGGACCCAAGTGACAGCTGCTTTGCAGGCCTGGCAAATTTGCGACTAGCTCGTCTAACTCTTTGAAGAGGATTCCGATGTCCGGTTGTAGCTCAGGTGTGGACAGCACTTTTAGGCTTGCACCTTAGTCGCGGATTCGGGTCCAAGGATGCCGAGGGAAATCGCTTAGCCCCCGCATTTTGCTGAGTCTTCGGTGCACTGTCCGGGTCCGATGCGCTGAAGGCTTGGAGCCACTGCTTCAGAGTATGCTAAACCAGTCAAAGACCCTGCGCTGTCAATCTTCCAATGCTCTGCATCAGTTGGGCATCAACTGGGAGACCGGCTTCGAATCCTCCGGGCTCCAGTGGAAGAGCCCATTGCCGGGGGAAACAGAGCGGCCACTTCTCAAGCAAGAAGATGTACTTCGATGCTTTGTGATTTAACTCCTTGTTGAATCGGGCAGTGCTATTTGTGCTGATGTTTATGAATTTGTGATGTTTGAAGAGATACCTGAAGTGCTCGTTTTCCCGTTTTGGATACGTGGTGCCATGGGCCATGGCAGGTCTGGTAATGATGTAGCGCCAGGAGGAACATGTTTGTGTGGTTTGACCGTGAATGCCCAGGTACTTGATTGCGAGCTTCCCTAAGGATTTCAAGATCAGTTATGCCAGGCAGGGACCTTTGTGGTAGCCTGGGCTCTACAAGGCAGTCTACTTTGTTGCCCTACCTGCTGGCAGCTTGCACGTGCCGTTCTGGTTGCGATACGAGGGTGATCCTGACATGCCGTGCTTGGAGGCTCCCGGATCCCACCTGGCGGCCTCTGATCGTCCACAACTTGTCAAACCCAGCCGTTTTGGCTGTGGATGAGCAGAACATGAGGCACGCCTCACCAGCAACGAGTGTTACCTTGGCTTTCCTGTCTGCTGTTTGACCAGGCTGTTCGTAGCAGACCCTACAGCAAGCAAAGTCTTCTGGTACAAGTTGAAGGCGCGGTGTCAACAAGCCTCTCATGACTAGCTTCCATCGGATCTACAGGTGCTGCCCAGCAAATTCCTCGTCACAGAGGGCTGCGACCCGAGTCAAGCTTCGACTTCTGCAACTTTCCAGCAGCTTAACCCTGCTGCGCTCTTACGCACAGGCCTTCAGCATGTCGCAGCAGAAAACATGATCGCCAAAGGCATGGCCGTGAGCCAGGCAGGCTGCCAAGCGAAGAATCCCAAGTGCCACCCAAAGCACACATCCTCAACGCGTCTTGTCGACGCAGGCAGGCGATTTGTTCATTTCTGGCCGCGTGGTCGCAAGCCCGCCTCTCACAGGGCATAGCGCCATCTACAAGCAGGCAGGCTTGCTACTTCTTATGATTCGTCTCTACGGATTGGTGATTAGTGCAGACAAGATGAAGCTTGGGCATCGATTGATGTAGGACTTGCAACAAGCTCCATGATGTTCTGGATGTAGCCGCTGAACAAGAATCTCTAGGGGTTCTTCATGAGAATTTGACAGTCCCTACACCCAGGCCCGCACAAAAGAGCCCAGAAGACCAGGCGGCCGATGGTTTGGAAGCGGGCGAGGCCCCGCTGAAGCGGCTGTGGACCGACTGTTCATTGAAGCTTCGCTGTGGAGGATTTACATGGGCACGTTGCATTCGTACTTCAGCAGGACAGCTGGTGATGGATCGTGGATCCCGGTGCTAAACGCGTACAGATCCCAGTTATGACAACATGTCGAACTTGTCGAAGCCAGCTTTAGTACACAACGCATGATGACACGAGGGATGGAGCTCCTGCGACAACCGAGCCCATGAGTCCGTCAACGCCAGGGGCTTCAGAAGATACTGACTGGCGGAGTGAACGTCAGAGTACCGAGGCCTGAGATCTATCAGCCTGGGCCGGTGGCTGTGGACATGTGAACTGGGCTGTCTTGATGCAATCTTGGCCGCACTCTTGCCGTTGAGCTTCCAGCGCTTTCTCTGCCAGGTTTACCCTGTATTGGGGCAACGCCATCAAAGGCAATGCTAGTGAATGCCTCAGCAGAATCGCGAGCAACCGCAGGGCCGAGCCCTCAACACGAAGAGCAACGCTAGGTGCTTTGGTGCGTGGTCCGCAGACTGTACCAGCTCCACTTCCTGGGGGAGCGGCTGCTCCCAAGTCCAAGGCATCGACGAACTGGACGGCAAGGGCAGGTAACCGTATAGGCCTTCCCTGCAGGCGGGCGCACATGCTCTCGCCAACAACTTGCAGGCTGTCACAGGCGGGTCGGACCAGAAAGGGTCGCGGTGGTGCTCGGCAGTCTCGCTTTTCATAGTTTTCATTCGGCGGTATGTGTAGCAGCGACACGCAAAAGTATTGCGCGTGCCGGCGACTGATGGATGCTGATTCTGTTGTCACATGTCCTTGCCTCGGATTTTGCCCGATTCAACCAAACATGCTTGGCAATCTAAAAGGCTGTGTCAAGACTTGTGCAACAGGTGCACAATAGCTGACGTACCAGTATGTAATAGCTTGTGCCAGTAGTTTGCATTTTGATCGCTTGGTCGGTCAATGCCGCAAGCTACACAGTGACTTGATTGGCAAGGTCTGACTATTACATCTTCCGGCATTTTCTATGCCGGGCGTCCGGTGCAGGGCCGGCCAGGCATCTTTGCGTTGCTTGGGTCTCACTTCGTTGAATCGCAGCAGACATGCCGTGAGATGTGACCCGTGGTATCCGACGAGCTTAGGAGGAGTGAGGACAGCCTCAATGGCTGTGCCACGGATGACCACTGTGTCCACCGTGTTGCCCAGGCAAGCCGCACTTGGCGCTGTCAAGTCGAAGGAACTACTCGTAGGGGCAAAGCCAGCATGTGTTCTCATACAGGTGTCAAACCCGGTCGACATGTGCTGGGTCGGGAGCACAGCTCCACTTCAGTGTACTTGTTCGTGACTTCGCTTTCGGCACTTGCGAGGATGGTGATGCCACGCTATTTATAGCCGACGCCGGAAGTGGTGCCGTGCGCCCCGAGCAGGGTGGATGCATAGGAGTCTCTGAGGTTCAGGCAAGGTGGATCCATGATTGTTCCTACCATGACAGTCCTGTTAGCTTGAGGTCTTGTCTGTTCCTTCCAGCACAGCGAGCCGGCACGCAGTGGCCGAAGCCCAAAAGGGACAACAGAAATGTGACCCCGCATAGCAGAACAGCAAAGCAGCCGAGGTGAAGGTGGCCGAAGCGCTCGGAGTCCACGCCATCACGATGCTCTCGGTGCCCAGCATGGCGACGAAGGCAAGGAATCGTCGTCCTCGCGCCCTTGCGTCCTCGAGCCATGTTGAGCACATGCATATCGGACTTCACATCACTGACTTAGGTCACCGGCCTTGGTGTCGCCCTGGTTTCGGCTTTGGCCAGCCTACTGTCCTCCGTCTAGTGTGAGGCGGTCATGGCCCATGGCCCGCAGAACAGGTGGACGCTCCAAAATGTCTTGCGTCCGAGCCGAAATGATTTGAGCTTATGATTGTGCATGCTGTTCTGGCAGAGTCAAGCAAGTTTGTGGCATCTGTGGCGACTGAGTGCTGCTGGTGCTGCTGTTTCGTCGTGGTACGCCAGAGGATCCTGTGTCGGCAGCCAAGGCTTGGACTCAAGCATGTACATTGCAGAAATCGTCCCTCATCCATTAGATGAGAAGGAACTGAGAAACACGAATTCAATCACCACGCCAAAAACAATGAAGCTGAGCCCTAGACTGGGAAGCAGCAGTATGCGCGGGTTTCGCAACCATCTGTTTGTGGTTCTGCATGGACGCGTATTTAGCTCAGAGGGAGCATGCGTTCTACCTAGCTTGCCGCATGCTTTTGTGCCATGTCACTCGGCCTGGCCCCCAGCGAAGGCGGCTTGTCCGCCTCTCGGCCAATAAATAAGCAGTGGAAGTAGCAGTAGCACGAGTTGTTCTCCTTTTCCACCGGCACCGCCACCGCCACCGCCACCGCCACCGCCACTCAGCTTTTGTCATCTTCATCATCATCAGCATCACCAGAATCATAAGCATCAGTACCATCATCATCATCATCATCATCATCATCGTCATCAAAGTCATCATAACATGCATGTACTATTTTTGTCATCATCAGCATCTGCATCAGCATCAGAATTACGATCGTCATCATCATGGTCATGACCGGCGTGTACAAACCGATACATGGTCTAGAGTCTAGAGACTACGAAACCCACTACGAATATAACTCTCTCCGTTGCGAAGCTGCTTCCTGTCGAAGCTGTGGCAGCGGCAGCAGTGGCAGCAGCAGCAACATATACAGCAGCAACAAAGACAAGAACAACCGGAACAACAACCAGGACAACAACCAGAACAACAACAACAGCAGCAGCAGCAAGCAGCAGCAGCAGCAGCAATAACAACAGCAACAACAATGACAATGATAGCAACAATGACAACAACATCAGCACCGACCACGGCCGCGATCACGACCACCACCACCACAACAACAACAGCCACAAACTCTAAAATGCAAGAAGCAGCATCAAGGAACTAAAACGCAGTTTGTGACCGTCCTAGCAGTGATGCTGTCGCAGTTGATGATGATCTTCCACGCCGATTAGACGCCATCGTCAGACCGCTTCTAGTGCATCGCGTAGTGCCCTCGTGAGTCACAGCGGACAGCTTAGGAGCTGTGGCGATGGGCAGAGCCCACCGGTTTCGCGGCCCTGGCTCTAGGCGGTGCCAGCAATGCAGCCGCGGCGGTGCAAAGCGGGGTTCTGCACACTGGAACGCATATCAGGTTGTTTTTTTTCTCACTGTGAAGTTGGTCTCCAGCCTTTATTCCTCAGGCTTGGAGCTCGAGTCTCCCACGTCATATCTGTCGGGTCATATCGGAACTTCAAAGCCCTGACTACTATGCAGATGGAGATGCCTGGCATGCACAGCTTGGTTTCCAAAACGTACTTGGGGGTGTGGTGTACACTAAATAAAGAAAGCAGATGCTGCTTGTCTCACCCCCAGCGTATTTTCTCTGAGCAGCAGGCGTCTAAGGAGCCAGTGCCAGTAATGAACATTCACGAGCGAGACTCCCAGCCTGAGTCCCTTCGCCACCTTAGTCATTGACCGACTGGACTGAGTGCGCCACTCCGTCTGCTCATGCAAGGGTCTAGGCTGAAGGATTTACGGGTTTAGGTGAGTGACGGAGTGAGTGGCCGAGTCCATCGGAGATTCAACTACAATCAATCAAGAAACTGCAACCCCCCACACACACAGAGCCATGGTGTGAAAACTAATTACGCTAACGTAGAAGCCTTTGGGGTGAGGAGGTTCATGTCCGTGCTATGTAATGCATCGTAACGTGATGTGTGCCAACACAGCATGAAAGAACTTGGTGAGGTGGAACCCACCCCACAAGTTCGAAAAACTACATTATTTCGGATACTTGTGTAGTTTTCAATGCAGCTTCCAGTATGCATGGGCATGGATACCTATTTTCGGCTGCCTTCGTGTGATCTTGATTGCGTGGTTTGCCTCCAGCGCAGCATTTCCTCAGGAACGGCCACGCAGATATTCAGCTTCAATACTTTCAAATGTCCGATTGGCTTCGGCCAGACGAGAAGCTGGACCTGACCGGTGCTCAGTAGAGACAGCAGGTGTTTTGTCGATTTCGTCTTGTATGCTCGCCAGAACCAAAAAATCCAAGGAGACATGACTTGGCCGAGCCTCTTCAGGCTGGCAAGAGTTGCAGCACCACTGCCCGAAGCTGTGCTTGAGTGCAGTGTGTCTTGGACACACGGATACACAGGGGGTTGCTGATGATGGGATGACGTTCACGTGATTTGAATACCATGTTTGAAGAGAAGCCTCGCGCACCACGTGTGGTAGTGCTGGCCAGCAACCTTTCAGAAAAGGCAGTGAAGTGACTCGCATCACTGAAACGGCCGCTTAAAAGTTTGAAGAGGCTTTGCAGGCCGCTGTGCAACCTGCAGAAGCAGTCGGTGACCGGGTGGTGCTCGTGCACTGTGACCAGGCGCGGGTGGGAAGCAGCCAGTCGTGTGACGGGTACACAGGCAGATGTGTGGAAGTCATAGTCTGCGAGGGCCACAACCGCTCGCCGACTCTCGCCCTGGCTTTCTTTGTTTGCAACGGCCACACACTCCGTCAGGCAGGGATCCAAGTGTCTGGCTGATTTCAAGGACACAGCCGAGGTTCGAGCATATGCGAATCATATGCATCAAACAACTTTGATACAACAGCTTTCCGAGCGAATTGTGTTGTCGACCCTAAACATTTGTTGCACGCAGGAATTCGCAAAATTGTAGCTGACGGTCAGTGCAGCTGTCTGAGACACTTCGCATGGCCGGGATATGCTGACATTCAACAGCAGATCTTTCTTGGACATCATTCTGGGGTGCCATCTCTACAGTAGGCAGTCTTTGCAGACGGCTTAGCCCAGACCCATGCTCCCGTTGAGCCAAAGCCGAAGCCAAAGTTAAAGCCCCAGTGGCCCATGGAAGCGACCCTCACACACAAGGACGCACACTTACACGCTTGCTTGTATTGCTTGGGAGGAATCTCTTTTCCGCAAAATCAGGTGAGCTGAACCCAGCCGAATGAACATCCATATTGAGGGCCGAAGCCTAGAACAGTCAGAAGTTCAGAGGCCTACTGCCGGCTCCTCCGAGCTCGAATGGACGTCGATCCATTGCCGCTCAGCAGACACACGGCTTCGTGAGACCCATGGCATCGCTTGGCCCTGGGGTTGTTCAGTGCCTGAACCCGAAGCTACTACGATATTTGCATCCATGGTAGAACTGTATTCTTGGTGTGGAACGGCTGGGATGCAGTCATAGCTGCCGAGACTGTGACGTAAGTTGCGCCTAAACCTAAGCCTCGAAGAGTAGACACCATTGACATATTCAGGAGGTCCGCCACGGTGTTCTCGTCCGGTGGCAGTGTTTCGAAATCAAAGCGCCTGACGAGCAAGAGCACACTCACACTCCATCTACCAAGACTCCTTCAACTGGCCGGGGGGGGGCGCACAGACAGAGCTCCGCTCCTCCACCGCACAGTGTCTTGAGCTTGAGCCGGTGCTTCGATTGACAGACGAACCGTTGCCGGCTCACGCCCTTTTGCTTGGCCACACCTTTGCTGGGTTTCCAGACAAGCTGGTCCTAAAATTCGAGGACCGTCTGCGGATGTCTGCATCCCCCCTCAAGCCTGAGCCATCGAGACGAAACCCCTGAAAGACCAGCGAAAGACCAGCCTCTGTCACATGCACAATGGCACGACGGAGCGGCCGCACACGAGGCAGCTGGCCTTGTGCCACCACTTGCATTCTCGAACCTGGGGATCGGGCTCCCACTTCCTTCTCAAGAAGTGTCGCCTTGGCTCCAAGCACCCCCGTTCCGAGACATGGTTCCAGCCGCAGTCCGCCTCACATTTATGTCAGCAGACACGCTTGTGGTCGAACCCTTGTTAAAGCTTCCACGGTGTTTCAGGGTGAAACTTTGGTCAGGTCCTTTCGCTTAAGATGAGTGCAGGGTTCTTCCCGGATTCTTCCCGTGCCTTGACCCCTGATGCAGGGCCTCTATCTCGTCTCTCCTCCATTGTGTGCTTTCGGCGCCGCTGCGCCGTGCCAAGGCCGCCCTACAGGCGAGGTCTTGAGCAACTTGAAGTCGAGCTGCGCGGCGAGTCTTGGATGATTTCACGTGCACTGAGTCGCACCGAGCGCCCCCTGAGCCCGCGGCTTCGCCGTGCTTTTTTGGGTGAGGAGCGCGGTAATAGCGTTTCGGAGCACGACATCTTTGCCTTGCACGTGACGCAATTGCTTCTTGGTCCCAAAGCCAGGAGAGTTGCCAGTGATCTGCTTGTGCACAGACTCAGGATGAGCCTTCCCAATCTTCACGAGCTCGCAGAAACTTGTGGCACGCTTACGCGCGTCATGTGTGCCCCTGTTCGCACAAAGCAACTTGCATCCTACATTCTCTGCAGTGTTCAGGTCCACCGCCACCGCCCCCTCCGGGGCCAGTGGAGACAATGCGGTCAGACGATGAGAGGGAGGTGCTCTGTTTGGCTCACCTTGCAGTCCACCGAGCTTGTCATGACGGAACAGGAAGTGGACGAGATGTCCGAGGCCTCCCACGCCTTCGAAGTGGCCCTTGCCGTCCCCCATCTGAATTTGCTTTCGAAGTTGCAACAGGTTCAGGCAGCGCTGAAGCTTGTCCAAGGTCCGCCGCAGCGCCATTGCCACGCTTTTGGCAGAGCAACCCGCGGAAGAAATGGAGTGCACTCATGGGCAGTGGCAAACTTAAAGGCATGTGCCGGCACTTGGCAAGCAAGCATCCTGATTGTGCAGCCAATAGACCAGGCGCAGATGAAACAGCACTTTAGCGCAAGAAGCACCGAAACCCCACCGTACTGAAGTACACCATCTGTTCAGCACTGCACACGTGAGGGAGGACACAGTTCCTGCCGTAGAGTTAGTGAAGAAAGAAGGCAACTGCCAAAGAACATCGAGCTGGAACGACTTGCAACTTGTTGCAATCAGCACGTGCCTTTGCGACCATGAGTGCTGCCTCGTGCAGAGCGACTTTTCTGTCGTGGCGGCGTCGCATTTTCAGGCGGAGGGCCGTCAGAGGGCACCAGAGCGTGAAGGTCGGTTGGACGAGTGCTTTGCAAGGAGACGCCGAGAGCAAGCGCACACTTCACGTCGATGCAGGCCTGCACATTTGATCACTGGGTACCGCAGTCTTCTGTGGCATCACATGCTTCTACAGACAATCGGAGACAGAGAAGAGCGTTAGAGCCTTGTTTCTTGCCGCTGCCGCTGATCGGTTCAACTTTCGCAGGTGGTGCCACTGAATTGTTTTCGTGTGAGGCTTGGCCGGCAGGCTCTCTCAAAGAGAGGCCAAGGCCACATCCTCTCTTAAACAAACCTGTCAAGAAGCCTCTGGAACAGCTTGCTTGTCTTTTGCCGGCTGCCCCAATGCTAAGCCCAACCTTTCGTCTAGGACTACATGTAGGCCTTTCATCAGAGATGCGAGAAAGCGCTTTGAAGCCCGGAAAGGGTTTGATTAGGCTCGCGGCTTGTCGCCATGTCAAAGATGACGTGCCTATCTGCTACAGTTCTTCTGTATATGCTGGTGAGAGTCTGTGGCGTGCCAGATGTGCGCCCTGGACTGCACAGCCTTTGCACCCAGGTCCATGGAATGATAGGAGGCAACATGTCGATTGCAGCCCTGCGCCGAAAGTCGACGTGCTTCTGCTGGCTTGCGTCTGCCCGAGGTCCTTTGCTGATGCTTGGCTGCACCCACGCGGCTCTGACTTCTGGGCAGGTGCATCACCACAAGGCGGAACTGTCAACTGGTCCTCCTGAAAGGTGGTGAGTGGTGACAACTGGCCTCAGATCAGTTCGCAGTTTCATACATGGGCGTGTCAAGGATGGGTGCCTCGGTGACACTTGTGCGGCGACGGCTCTCATGCAGGCTTCAAGAGCGCATTGCTTTCACATTCGGGATGTTTACCGTTGCGGCACAGGTTCGGGTGGCCCAACGCAGTCCCAAGACCGAGGCTGGGCAGACGTTCAGCAAGATTCCGATGCTAGATCACCTCCTGTGGCAATTCGCAAGTGTCATGCACGGTCCAGTGCCACACTGCCGAGCTTTATTCACAGCATCCTTTTGTCGAAGCAGGAGGTACCAACAGAGGATGTTGTTTCCGCATTGTTCATGCTCTGTGCGTCTTCGTGCTTTCACATCTATTGCATGATGCAGCGGCCGTCGGTCCGTCTTCTTATGACTTGTTGATTTAGGTTCTTTTGGGCTTAATCCCGCACGATTTCGTTCTTTTTGCTCCTGCCGCTGCCTGCTCGATCTTGCATGCTTCATGACGGTTTCGGACCTTAGCATCCTCTGAACACCCGCCTGTTTGCCCCCCGTGATGACCGGACATCGTAGGGGTGCACAACAGTCGGCATGCAGCATATAGGGTCGAAGGGCAGGAGCTCGGAGTGATGTATCCCACGTTTATGTATCCATCGTCGTCTGATCATGAATCAATCTGTCTGCCTCTCGGTCGGTCTCGCACTCTCTCTCTCTCTCTCTCTCTCTGTCTGTTTGTCTGTTTGTCGGTATTTCTGCCGGTCTGATCCTGTCTCCCTGGCTGTCTGTCGGTCCGTCTGTCCGTCCTGTCCGTGCATCTGTCTGTGTGTGCGTGTGTCCTGTCATGTCCTGTCCTCTGGCTGTGTTACTTCCTGCTGGTTGATCTAGCTGTCACATATCTGCGCTGTCACGATCTCGTCAACATGACAGGGTCTGCAAGACGCCATGAGACTCTTGGTACAGGATAGTCGTGTGCGCAGCGTCAGCAACAAGACCGTAAATGTGCAACCATCGCAGAGCGAATCAGCACGTCAGATTGTGCTCCTCGCAGCGGCAATTCAGCAAGTTTTGAGGCAGTAGCTTGTAGCCTCGGCTTGACATGTATGCGGGGGTAGTCGCTGATCGTTGGCTGAGGTTCCTGCACATTCCGAAGACCGCGGGCACTTCCTTCTTTGCAGACGCGATGTTCATGATTCCATCCAACATGTCATTTCTCGACAATGGTGAAGCCCGTCTGAACTTGGCGCTGACAGCAAGTTCTGGAGTGTGCAACGCTTCAATTTCTAACGAGTGGGTTCTCTTTTGACAGCCGGTGCTTGTTGTCGACTCTGAAACCCGGAGCGTCTCTGGAACGGCAGAACGGCGCTGATCTGCCGAAGTGTCTTAGAGTCGTTGGAGAAAACAGGCCTGAGAGCCTTTGGTCTTGGAGGTGTCGAGACACCCTTCGGATTTCTTGCACATCACATGCTTTTCCCCGGTTGCTCTGTCATTCCAAGGAGCTTTCCTTGCTGGGCAACCTGGCGCAGAATTTGTAGACACGACTGCTGGCATGTAACGTCCCTACCGTCGCTATCAGTTGAAGACAAAGGCACCCCACACGTGCAGAACGAGACTCGCGTGGTGTCACTCAGCTGACATGGCATGCTCTTGATCAGTTTTCTCTCTGCTGTGCCGGCTTCTGCCAACGCACGTGACCGCACAAGTGTAAAGGCTGCACCGAATTGACTCGATTCTGCATCTTGCTGCAGACATGAGGATGATTCGGAGCCCATTGGACCATGTTCTGCACAAGCCTCAGTTGGGAACGAACGGTGACACGGCCGGTGCAGTTACTCTGCAGTGGAAGTGCCAGCTTTCCACATATGAAACACATCTTCGAAGTGCATGCTTAGTCTTTCAGGATGCTGCACTCAGGTCGCAATTTTTGGAGTGCAAGTTTGACTGGTGGGGTAAGCGCGTCACAGCCGGCACGGACTTCCCTTTCAAACCAGGCAGTGAAAGACTTGCTTGTGCCACCAGTCTTCCTTTCTTCTGAGTTGCCACAGCTGAAGAGTTCAAGCAGCCGACGGAATACTAGTAGTTATGTTCCACGTTATGGTAAAGATTTCAAACGACATTGTACCAGCGGAATGCAGTAGTATTTGAAGAGATGTAGTTTTGAAGTGCTCTCTGGTCGGGCAAGCGTCTGCTGTCAGAGCGATCTGCGTGCTTTCGAGGTCGCATTGCCTTGTCACTACAGACCATATTATGCAGAGCTGTTCCGGAAGCTGAACTTGCGGGCGAAAGCTTGTTGTCTCTCCGAGCAAGTGTGTCGTTCTTGCACCAGCCAGGGCTGTTGTTGATGATTGCCCGGCTGCACAATACCATGCAGATGTCCATGCGACAGGTGTTTATGGCGGCCTTTACAACTGGGTTCGACATTTTACGGACCTGAAGAACGAGTCCGTACAGGGTTTTCCACCCGACAGCAAGGACCCAGCTGTATTCTGCTAGCTGTTGGCCACGGGTTCTTTCATTCTGATCAACGGTTTTCTTCCGTGTTTGTCAGGCGCAAAATTTTCTCACTACCACAGGAAGGTCAAAGAAGGCGTTGTAAAAGACTATCGAACCCGGATACTCTCATCGGACTAGTGGCTGCTGGCGATGCTGTCCATGGCACGTAGTGACTATAGTAGTAGTAGTAGTAGTAGTAGCAGTAGTAGTAGTAGTAGTAGCAGTAGCAGTAGCAGTAGCATTATTATTATTATTAGTAGTAGTAGTCGTCGTCGTCGTCTTTGTAGTAGTAGTCGTGGTGGTGGTGGTGGTGGTGATAGCAGTAGTAGTAGTAGTAGTAGCAGTAGCAGTAGCAGTAGCAGTAGCAGTAGCAGTAGGAGTAGTAGTAGTAGTAGTAGTCGTAGTCGTAGTCGTAGTCGTAGTCGTAGTAGTAGTAGTAGTAGTAGTAGTAGTAGTAGTAGCAGTAGTAGCAGTAGCAGTAGCAGTAGCAGTAGCAGTAGCAGTAGCAGTAGCAGTAGCAGTGGTAGTAGTAGCAGCAGCAGTAGCAGTAGCAGTAGCAGTAGTAGCAGTGGCTGCAGTGGCAGCAGTTGTGGCAGTAGCTGCAGTAGTAGCAGTAGCCGCAGCAGCAGCAGCAGCAGTGGTAGTTTGTTTTCTTGCACAGGAATGGGCTCGTGCGGTGAGCCACAACTGCTACAATCCCTGGAACATGCAGAGTAGACCCTCGATTGCACCTACTGCCTGTAATCGTTTCGTTTCATCAGTTGCAAAGCTCACAGCGCATCCTCTGATGCCTTGCAAATGAAAGGGTGCTCACACCCACAGGCAGTCAATCAATGAGTCAACTTAACGTTTCCCTCGCAGTCTGCAGACGTTGCTCATCCTCTAGCAAGCCACTGAAGCTTTCTTCGGAGAAAAGAGATGAATTCATTAGTTCGCGGATATTGTGCCAGAACCTTACAGTAGCGCGTGATACAGTGGCATCCTAGCGTGTTCCTGTGACCCTACTGCGGAAGAGATGTGTCCTTGTAATGAATCGCATGCATGAATCGTTCGATCAGACCGGCTGACCATCTACGAACTTGGATCATCTCCGAATCTCCAAGGATACCTGGCCAGCGTCTGGGACCATTATGTGCCCTTCGACGAGCTTCAGCCCAACATCAAGGCTCCGTTTCCCCAATTCGTTCAGTAGCAATCGTCGTCGTCGATTCGTCTAAAGGTGCATGCAGACATGCAGGGAAGAGAAACACAAGTTACCACCTGTGTCGTCATGCACGCTACAAAGCCATCTCATGAGCAGGGCAGAGCTTGGCCATTTAGGACGATAGTCCGAAACGGACTTGGCACAACGAGGCCCCCTGTTGTCCAGAAGGCATGCCAGCTGTAAGCATGCCAACTGTAAGCATTGTAACAGGACGTTGAAGTCAGCTTTGTTTTGAAAGCTAGCTCATCGAATGGTCTCGGCAAATGTCAGGCTTCGTGAGAATGCAGTTTGTGGGTGACTTGCCCGCAGGTCGCGAGGCAAGGGCTTCAAAGCCACCGTGCTGAAGTGTAAGACAGCCATGTCTTCTTTGAAGATCTTGCGGCAGCCTCCCGTGAACAGTAACTTTTCCGGTCCTGTCAACCACACTCCTCAGATGTGTCATGCGAAGCGCGTGCTTATACTTGTCATTCTGTGTTGTGACGTGTTGAACTTGCAGAAGCGAGGTGTCCAAGTTGTTGGTGTGCCTGAGCTCTACGTGGAATCTCTCTGCCTGGTCCATCTGGAAACGCGTGGAACCCAAGTGTGTTTTGTGCTGCACGAGGCAGCTCAACATGATGTGTTTCAACATGATGCAAGGGAGTTTAGGTGAGTTAGATGGCGCCCAGAATCCAGGCACGGCCACCTGCCTGAAGGCTGTGCATGCGGCCAGCAAGGTGACCCAGCTGCAGCATGGGAGGTTTTGCGGGCTTGGAAAGTCGCTCTCGAGACGAGCGTGGGACTTGCACCTTGGCTCTTCGTCTCGACTGTTGAATAAGGACCGATTGAGCAAATCAGACGCTCGGCATCAGTGAAATCGCCAAGTGCCAAGACCGAAGAGACCACAACTTGACACTAGCGAGTTCTCAGGAAGCCTGCATCTAAGGCACCGAGTCCCATTACGTACCGAATCACTCCATCAGCGAGCTGCCAGATGATCTTTTAGCTGAGATGGCGAAGCTTGTGCGGGTCGATGCACAGCAGCTTGACTCAGACTTGTCGGGCGAAGCCTCATAACTGCAATTCTGCCCATACCAAGGATCTACGTCGATGCCCTCAACCGGTTCGAGCTTGCTGCACGCCAAGCGGCTGACCGCACTGGGATCCAGATGTTTTGTGACGATCGCCTTGACCGTGCGTGGGCCAACGAAGCCTTGCTTGCACCAAGCGTGGTTTGTGCTGGCCCCATCTACTTGCTTCAGCCCAGGCCAACTCCTTGTTGCAAAGGCTTGGGATGGAGAATGCTGCTTTGGCCAGGAGATTCAGTTCCCACCCAGCACGTAGGTCTCAACTAGGACCAACGTAAGACCCAGGGGTAGCAAAGCTTCTGAGGCCTCCGAGCTGCAGCGAGCGTGGAATCACGTGCGTGTCGAGATAGTGGCAACTGCCACGAGGGAGGCATCAGGCGATCAGTCTCCGCGCAGAAGCTGAAAACCGCGACTCGCGACAGCTCAAAAAAGCTTCGATGCCTACACAACAAGCCATCACTTGATTGAGCAGTTATGAGCAGATGCTAGTAACTGCTAGTAACGAGCAGCAGATCATGCCTCCTCAGGGACGACTGCAGAGAAGTGCATTGCCGAAAGAACTTACCGTGGAGGTGGGCCGCTTGCCGAAAGGCTCTGAGCATTACAGAAGGATGTTTTTTCTCGATTCATTAAAGATGGCATTGAAGAGGTCGCTAGCCTCGGGCGTCGTGGCCTCTGGGCGGCGGCCATCCACAAAGTGGAGGAGGAACCTTGCACTCGCTCAAATGTCCTTACACTACTCTTGACAGCCGTCAAGTACCGCTTTTTGGAACTAGTTTCGTGGTATCAGGGGGCCATCAACCACACAACTGCCGTAAGCAGCTGTTGATCAGTGTTAACTTCCCCACTGTGCTGCTGGCATAAACGGCGGCACTTCGTATTCTCTGTAGACCCGACCTTTTCAGGCGAAGAGCCACCAACTGCTGGATGTTGTGCTGTGCAACGCTGCAGAGCTCGCCTCAGTCATGTCTTGGACCGCTGCTCGATGAATTGGACATGTAGTTGAGCATTTTCCTGCTGCCCGCGCTTGAGGTCACAGCGTGTGCGCGCGGTAGAGCCTGGCAGGACGCACATTGCATGCTGTCTTGTGTTTCGCTGCGCCCGTTGGGCAACACGTTGCTGGTTTTGCCGAAGGGAAGATTTTTACCTTGTTGTCAGGCCGCATTGGCGGTGCTGCAGAGCATGGCAGAGGGAAGGCGACGAATTACGCTGCCAATCTGATAACGAGAAGTGACGGGTTTTATTCGGGGTGGAAAGTGTGGAGAGGTCTGGGCTGCCTGCACCAGACTTGGTGACATTTAACAGCGCGTTAAGCCAGGCCCTCAGACACACGGGCGCAGACAGGCGAATGACCCACTACTTTCTTGAACAGATGCCCTCGCATCGTCGGCCTGCTGGAGGGAGGCTTCCTGGCTGCTGTCGGAGATGTGTGGTAGCAGGCTGGGAGGAAGTTTGGCCGTCCTTCAGGTCTGTAATGCTCGGCAGTACTATGCCCTGCTGACCCAAGCAGGTGGTTGAACATATTGCCCAACATCGTCAGCTTCAACACTGTCCTAAGAGCTTGTGCCAGGCACACTGCAGCATTGTGTTTGGACAAGCTTCATGGGAATCCAGTGCAACCTACTTGTGTCTGAGAGGAGTCGTTCCTGGCAGTCAGCTTTGCAACTGTCTGGCGCTGACTGCTTTTTAGCTTCTTCGGCGTTCAGACTTCAAGCATGGAGTTTGATAGGTCTTTTATGGGAGGCATGGTGTACTCGGCGGAGAGGTTGCCTTCCCAAAGCTTTTGTTTCGCAGTGAGGTTGTCGAATCTATGCCAGCAAGGACCAGAAGGCATGGATGCATCACAAGTATCAGAAGCCATGATTGACTGTCATTGTCACAGCGCTTTTGAGCATCTCTTCCTTAGCACTGCAGGTCCTGTCGCCCTCAAGGAAAGCGCGGGTCCAGTGGAATCCATCTGTCTGGGCAGGTGAAGCGGACCTGGTGAGCTTCAACACGGCGATTTCGGCTTGTGTGGCAGTCTCAGCTTGGTGATGGTATCCGTCTTGTTCGCAATCGCCTGCTGGTGCGGAATGTGCTTCGCCGAGTCTTTTGGGAAGTGGTACATAGTTCACCTGGGTTTCAAAAGCCAGTTTCTTCGAGCAGACGCCGGTAGATCTCAGAAAACATCGACTCGGTGTTGCGGAGGAGCGGAGCAGCCAATGGCAACTTTGCTCGTCGCTCTTGGCGAAGTTGGGCCAGCGAGGACTGGCAGGGCTCGACCTTGTGTTGCCAAAAGCAGATGGGAATTGCGAATTGCGAAACGAAATTGACGTTTTCCGATCCCGTCCTTAGACTTTTCATGCATACACAACTCCCAGTCCTTTTTTTGTTGAGCTTCTTCTGCAGGCCTTCAGCCAGACACCGTGCTTCGCCTCGGGAGCTGTGGAAGCATGCCCTGTCAGTTTGCAGTTTGACAACCGAGCTTGTGGAGGGTATCAGGGTCTCACCATGTCGTGGTCAGTGGACACTACGTCACTACTTTTTCCGACACGGTCTTAGAACATGCTGCCATTGCCATGTTCATGCGAGCACAGGTCTCTTTGAACACCGTCTTGAGCAGCTTTGCACGTGGTGACGAATGGCAAAGGGTGCCGTCCTCAGCTGCATTACTTCGCCACAGCAGGTGCAGCAGTTTCGACACAGGATACAGCTTGGCAGATTGGGCGCAGCTCCTCAAGCTTTTCGGCTCGTATGCCCAATGTATGGTGTTGCTGCCAACGGTTTCGGAGCAAAAGGCCGCCCCAAGGCTCTAAACAGAAAAGGTTCTTGCACCAGAAAGTTTTTGTTACCGGCTGATGCGCACTTAGATCCGTAGCAACCAGAACTCTGAGATTCGCTCGCCTGCTTCCGCCTTCTAAGACCCACCACACAGACAGACAGAACTAGATTTAGTCCCCAAAGTGTCTTGGCACATGGCCGACGAGCCGTCCACAAAAAATGGCAGCCGCTTGGCATTCTCAGCTTGTTGAGGATCCAGAAGCTGCTGCCACCCTGACTCCTGCTGGAATGTGCGTGTGTGCGAGAGAGAGAAACTGCAATGTGCGGGAATATTCCTTGTCTGGTGAAGTGGGTTGGCATGCATGACTCCAGCCGGTTGGTTTCCTTCAAAATGCATGGACTGTATCGTGATTGATAGCCGGCGATTGGCCGCAGAATGAAGCCGGCATTCAATTAAAGAGCGGTTTTGCGACTGAAGCGGAGTTTGGGCGAGTCTGGCATGGGCTGCAAGCCCAGTTCAAGAAAGAGCTACAGAGCTTGTGGGCCCTTCGTGAGGTGACCCCAGAGCAAACATAATGGCCAGAAAGGAGATGAAGTGAACCGGGGGAAGACGGCCTGTCCTGAAACTCGTGCAAGCCATAAAGAAATAGATCATCCTCTAGAAAGATCGGTGTCTGTGTGTCTGTGTCCGTGTGTTTGTTGTGCGAAAGTATGTGCAAGGCGAAAGCCTTGGTGCCGGCTCAGACTGTGGGGAGAGCTGGAGTGAACAAAAATCCGCTCTGATTCGGGGATGCGGGTGGTTTACGAAAATGCAGAGTGAACCAAGAAGCAAAAAGTTCCACTTCTCTGGCTTGACATCGCAGCATGTATCGGGTGCCACATCCCATAACTGCATGAGGGAAGAAAAGGGGCAGAAGAGAGAGGCAGCAACTAGACGTAAAGGAAGAGGTAGTCTCGCAGAGAGGCTTGACTTACCAAGGCAATATTCTCTGTCCAGGTAATGGCGGCCTTGCTATTCTGGATCTTAATGAGCGCCGGTGCCCCAGATTGTCCACGCTGGACGCGTGAATGGGATTTACTTTTCACAGGGCAAGCGCCTATGAACATGGGGGAGATGTGGCTGAGGCAACGATGATTATTTTCAATGCTGCGCTACTGACACTCGGCTGGAGCCAGATATTCTCTGCGTCATGCGGTAGCTTTGCACAGAGACATTTCGCTCACAAACTGCTCTTGTTTTTGGTTTGTTTTATCCTGGTTGTGGCTTTCTGCCCTTTGTCTGGCATGATGTTCTGAACCCACTACCTTTTTGAAAGCATTGCACTTTGAAGCTGCCACTGTCACTGGCATCAGCATGCTGCAAGCCAACACGGTGCCTGCTTGCAGGCAAGGATTCAGGCATCCTGTGTGGCTGACATTCTGGCATATGTCTGTGGCGTGGCTCAATCGTGGTATGCTTGATGCGCGGGTGCCGTGCAGCAATGCAAGTTGGTAGCAGCACGATACTGGAACGGTCGCTTTCTTCATCCCGTCTCACGTTGCGAAGTAGCTGTCCCTCTCTGTAGCCATGTCTTCGCAGGCAAGCACAATTCTGATACTCTTGCTGAAGCTGGCGCGGCCGGATCTGGTCGCCACAGGCGATGAGAAGGAGCACTGGCTGTCAACTTGCCGTTTTGATGCCTGGTGTTTCTCACATGTGGTGTGGGGCTGTAGCGTTGTGAGTTCCGGTGCCATTCCAAGCAGTAGCATCAAACTCGACCATGCAAGATGGAAATGCACCAGACAGGTGTACAACATTCTGAAAAGATACAGGCAACTGGGAACTATCGGTAAGTGGACCATGCAGGCAGGGCGACGGCAAATCGGGTGCCGGCGGTCCGTTGGAAACCTTGTTGGAGGCGGCCTCTCCATACCCAGTACCCTTGATGTTGGCGCGTTTTTTGTATAGCGGACATCAGGGTCGTCGCTAGGGCGGTAGCCAGGCCTGCATTTTGCGGCAAGACTCGCCAGTTGTCTTGCATGGCGAGCCCGGATCGAGCGACCTCCCTTCCATCGTATGAAGCCGCAGTTCGTTGATTTACTGGCAACATGAGAATCCAGGATATTCTCGTCCGTCTCTCACTTTGAGTGAGAGAGCATTGAGGAGGGCCGGCCACCCCTGGCGATGATCGAGGCCCTGAAGCTCGGCTTCCCGGTGGCCGCGGCCCAGCGCCTCCTTGGCACAAAGACCTGGAAATGCTCCCTTGCTCTTCTGTTTTCGCCTGAGGTGTGTGGGCTTAATTGCTGGAAACACGGCGACTTTCCAGCAAGAGACGAGGTGTGGTTCTGTGGCCTTGGAATCGTTGCCTTGCAACCTTCAGCCGAATCTGAGGCAGTAATGTATCTCTCTGTCTCGTTTTGCCAGATGATCAAAGCCTGGACTCCAGCGTCTCTTGGCCTAGTCAGGGCCAAATCAGCTTAGTGATGGCTGCAGACGAGTGGAATCGCCAAGCTGCCAAGCAGATACCAGGATGGTGTACGCAGTCGGATGTTTAGCCTGTCACTCAGACTTCTGGTAGTTTGCCGGCATAGCCTTGAAACTGTATCCCGGGGCACAGGTCGGAACCCAGAAGTTCTCTATTCCGGTGGCCAAGACCATTCTGACCATCACGGCAGGTAGTACCCTGAGTTTGTTCAGCCATCTGGCCGTCGTCGCACGCAGAGTGGCAGCAGAGTGTGAGACCGACATGGTAACGACGTCGAACATGATGTTGGAATGGATCAGGACTGATGATCACAAGTGTTGGCGAGATCAAGTTCGATTGGCACCACGGGCTACTGTTAAGGAACAGGACGTAAGTCAATAGGAAAAGTCCCCAGCCAAGTTCGTATCTGGTCGTGACCCGCCGCGCAGGGCAGCATTGTTTTGTCCTCAAGGAATGCCTAAAGAGCATAACTCCACGTGTCTTCTGCTTTTGTGATCATGCAGGTACGGCTTTCTGATGCAAGTTACCGCACTTTTCTCGGAGGGCCTTCGAATAAATCTGCTCGAGCCCTACACTGCCGTCAGGACTGTCGACTACCGTGTGCCCGTCTAGCAGCTAACCGCTTAACTGATTCGGTCCGAGGCTTGAGATTCTTCTGAAATCGCCACTCGGCTGCCCAGCGAAAGAATTGATATCATCAGGAGGGGCTTCCGTTCATGAAGTCGCTTTGCCAGAGTGCAGCGTTTGAAGCACCATCGCTGCTGCGTGAGACCTGATACTGTATCCGCCGCAATACACTCGGGTTCAGAAGCAGCCCGTTCAAAATCCTCGAAGCTGGGAGCAACATGGCCCAGCTGTTAGCGACTATTCTGTGCGGAAGAGCTGCTGTGACCAAGAAGCGGTCGGAGGAAGTGCCTACCGATCCCCACCCAGAGTCTCAGTTTCCTACATCTGACGAGCTGGTCGATGCCTCAGCAATCGAAAAGAGAGGGCGCATGCTCGCAGGTAGAGCTGGAAGCTCCTCTAGATCTGTTCTGAGCCCGTTGTGCTCCCCCGTTTGCTCGCTGAAGTTCGGTGATTTGGACATGGAAGGTGCTCGCAATCGAGGACATACTCCGAGTCCTTGTCCGTCAGAGGATTTTGTGATCTTCCACACCGTCTTTCACAAGAAGCACGGGTCAGAAAGGACTGACAGAACGGTGCAATATTCCGCACCCAGGGCGAATTTGCCCGAAACCGCGGCTCCATCTGTACTTCGACTGTGAGGCTTGGATCGGGAGTGGTGGATCTCGGCCCACCACGAGTGGGACTTACGCACACTTACATGTGCTCTGGAAGGATCAGGACAAAAGGGCCTGCAACATGACACAATTATTCTCACCCCGGGACAGTCGCAGAGCGCACGGGTACAGGTACTGGCACTGCGACTGTTCCATTGTCACTATCAATTATTATTCGACGTTTCTCTCATTCGTGAAGTGGCTGCTGGCCTTTCACACCGGGCACACGATATGTCACACTGTTATGTTCAGTGAGAGTGGCTTCATACTGCAGAGCAATATGCTTCGGCTCTTCTCTCGTAGCCTTTTGTCACAAAACCCAAGCTGCCAGGAATCGGGCTTGCCTGCTCTGCTGCCACTCAAGCATGGAACATCAACCGAAAAAGCGGTGCAGCGAACTCGCTGTGTTCATAAAGCATGCCACGTGTATATCGTGAGCCGACAGCTTTCGGATATACGCTGTCGAAGCGCTGCACTGCAATGAATTCAAGTCAATAAAAGATACAGACCGCAGGTCTTGTCCCCTCTTGAAGCTCGTGCTCTGCACGTGCTATAGGGTTCTTGCTCCCGTTGGTCTGCTTGATGTGCCGACTCTTGACGGGAATGAGGGCTCCACTGGCACGAAGGTGTCTTGGCCCGTGCTGGTATTGCAAGTGCTTGAAGCACGGTCTCTCTCCATCTGGGCACCCATCTCGGCAGTGCAGGTCCTGCGGTTGCCTTTAAGCACTGCAGGTATTGCCGTCACGGTCCCAAAAAATCTGCCATGCTGCTTGCATGACATCTGTGCTGGCAGAAAACGATGTGCAAGATTGCAAGAAAAGAGAACCAGAGCTAGATAGAAACTGCAAGTTGCAGTTTTGATTTGATTTGCCTCGCTCTCATACTGTGTAAAGACACGGTCCAGCACGTCAGCCCTGTGCAGTAGTCTTCCAATTCAGGGCCGGCTACAAGCTCAACCCGCTGAGTTCCATCTTGATCTTCGCACCGATCGCCTCGGCGATTCTGTTGCGGCTCTGGCTAATCATCTGTTTCTGAAAAGTCGGTGCAGCAGAAGGGCGCTGGGATGAGAATCTCGGAATGTTGGCATGCTGGGCTTCTGAATCCCTGGGTCGATACCGCGATTTGCGGTAATTCTGCGTAAAGTTGCATCGCCGCATACTTTCAATCCAAGTCAGTGTTGCCGCCAAGGGTTATCGGCGTTGTGACAGATCCTTGGCAGCATCTGTAAATCAGGCAAGGAGACGTGCTCTACTGTTCGCCAAAGCGGACAGCTGCCCCAGGACTTGGACGGAATCTCCTTTGAGGAGCCCCGGCTGCCTTTCCGTCAACTCCAGGGTCTCAAGGTCGTTTGTTTCCCTTGCAAAGAGACTCTCTTTGCGAGGTGATGCACAAGCTGGGAGAGCTGGTCCTTGTGGCAAACGCTCTCGTCGTCTCATGCTCAGTTGGAGGGCTGACATGACTCCATAAGGGTTGCAGGGAGCTAGCCAAAAGATTCCGAATCCAGGCTTTTTTCCTCAATATCGCGATTTACATCGCCATTCAGCTGGCCTCCGGTTTGATCTATGCACTTGCCGGGGTCGTGAAGGACGGAGCGCATTTTGAGACATGTGTCGCAAGAAGTGTGTGTTTCGCGCTCTCTCACATGGGCACCTCAAGCCTGCAGGACATCTCCATCATCATGGGCTCTGCCTCTTGCTCAGTCCTGCTGCTCGGGCCGGGGTTGCTGCCAAGTAGGAGTCTCATAGGAAAGGCAGCAGAGACACCGCCCGAGGTCATCGTTATGGGAAGCAACGTAAATGTTCTGCAAGTGCGACTTCGGCAGCACAAGCACAACGGTGACCACAACGTTTGCGTCTTTGCGACAATTCCGTTTTTGCCGAGGGTCGGCTATTCAATTGCGATCACGGGCATCCAATGCTACGGATGCTTACCTGCAGAACAGTACCGCTTTCGGGAAAGCCGAGCCCTTCTGCTTCCGTCTGCTGCGTTGGCCTTGGCTGAGGCGTCGTTAGCAAAGCACCAGCTCCTTGGCTGAAATCGCAATGCCCCAACACAAGAGGGAGCCACCCAAAGGCCCACATTTGCAGTGTGGAGTGAAGTTCAGCCTTTCTGGGGTGTGTACTGCATACTCTCTTGGGTCCAGCGAGGGTTTCACGAGCCAGGCCAATTTCGAAGCGTCTGGAATCGCGTACGGCGTCTTCCGGCACTTCCAGGCCTGCAAGGTCTGTAGGGCTGTCTCATAGTGGCTTCATCGCACGGATCAGTTTCACACATTTGTTTATCGGGGCACAGGAATTTTCCAGTGCAGAGCAACATGCTGTGTTAAGGACTTCTGATTGCCAGTTAAGATTACCGTTGTGCCGATGTTTGAAGACAATGTTGGGTACTCTTGCTGCGGCCTGGAGCATGCTGCAAGAGCATGTGTTGTCCCATGTTGTCCTGTACGAGTGAAGTATGCGGTCAGACAGACTTCTGGTTTCCTCGATTTCAGGCATGTCGCAAGAAGCGCACCCCTCATGCCTTGCCAGTTCGGGGCCTTGTGGCAGGACAACTTAGCACCGTCCACCGCCGCCTCGCCAGCGAAAGATCTCGATGGCCAAAGAATAGGGGCGACGAACGAGGCCGGAAGATTGATTTGCATCGCTAGCTTGAAAGTTGCAAGGCCGGCAGGGCTGGGGTGGGAGTCGGTGAGAAAACAGTTTGGCAGGGTAGGGTAGTGCGGTGAAGCGGCTCCTATTTGATCCCATTCGGGCTGTGTGCATGCAAGGCGCATGCTGAGTTCCAGCACTTTCGCAGAATATGGCTATTCGCGAAAATGAAGCTTGAGGAGTCACGAGAAGCAGAGTGTCTGAGAGAATTGGCGCAGGACGATGAAGAAATGCAGAACCTTAAGACGGAGCCATCGCCTGGATATCTAGAGGCTGGCTGCATTAGGTGTGCCTTAGTTACTAGTCAATGAACTTTGCTTGATTGGCATCGGAAAATTCCGTGGCAGGTGGACTTGGAGGGTGCCTTCTGCCTGTTTGTCGCAGGGCCACCACGCTGATTCTCAAAATCCGTGAACTCATCGCTTTGCACGTTGCCGCTCACGTCTAGACTTCTGCAGCATGGGCATCTGTCTCTGAAGTATGAGAGTGCCGTTTCCAGGCATCCAAGCACCTGATGGCAAAGCCTCGAGGCATGGACCTCGACTGTGGAACCGAAGCAGTACGGAGCAGAACTGCTTCTGACTTTCTTGAGTGCTTGTTGGTTGGAGATGTGACGCTCTGCTTACTGACGTGCAGGTAGCCGAAGCTTGCGGCAAAAGGCCATTTGTGTGAAGCAACCTCTAATCCGGAGGTACACACGATCAAACTCTGTTTCGGGCGGGAATTCTGCCGTTGAGCATCATTAGTGCATCCGTTTGTAGTCATCGAAGCAGCATAGCGCCGTACAACGTGCACACAATTCAATTCGCCATAGTGGAGCTAATTGCAGATTGAAAGACCTGTGGCCATGTTCCTGTACCGGCGTCGTAGAACGGCCTGACAGGGCCCGAGCGTTCTCAGGTTCGCAATGAATGTCGCCAATGGTCTTTTCTCTGTTGTGTCGATGCGGCTGAAACCCAGCCAGACTCAGCCGTCTCAGCTGAATTCGATTGCTCCCGGCTGCAAAATACCGTCTCAATGTGTGGCGGCGGGGGGAGGGGGGGTTGAGAAATTGTGTTTTGAGGCACAGGCAGGTCGGCGGCCTCAGGGAAGTGAAGTGTACATCTGCAGAAGTAGATGGATACATGCTCCAGGCTTCAGTCCTCCCTACATGGCGAAGTTAGTCCCTCAACGCATGCCATGACGAGTTGCGACATAGTCCGATCAAACGGATTTTGCAGGAATTGAAGGTTGTGCAGATCTGTGGTCCTAAGTAGACAGGCCACCCTGTCAGAACAGTCGAGGCAATACTGCTTTTCGAGGAGCTCTTGGCTGGATCAGGCAAGTAAAGCGCAGAGCTTTCTTGGACGAGCGTTGAGATTTTCTGGAAGGCCCGGTCGCTGACTCCACCTCCTTGGGATCCGTTCTTTCCGCTTGTGAGAGAGTGGGGCCGCAGCCTCGTTCAGCCAATGGCTTCAAGAGAAAGTGATTGAGGATAGCTGAGAGCCTTGCATCGCTCAGGCTTTGGCAGGCCGGGAGTTGTCAGTGCCGGAAGGGCCGGAAGGGTGAGGACATGAGGACGGGCTCCAGCCCTTCCCTGCTCACGGCAGGCGGCTTGGTCGCTCCTCGGCCGCTTCCGCGACCAGGGCTTGGAACCACAAAGCGGCGCCCTGCGGGCCGCGATGTCGGCGCTGCGGGTGGGCCGGATGTGTGGGGTTAACAACACACGCATGCCAGTTGTGGCCTTTTTCGCACCTTCGTAGGCTGCTGGCTGTTTCGGAATATCCGTGCCCGTGCCACATTTCATGGCTATGTCCGACTCTGTGCCAGTCCGGTGGACGTTGGCAAGAAGCGCTACTGCCGTCAGCTCAGGCCTGTACGATCTATCGAACAGAGCATCGTGCGACGGAGTTGCGTATCAGTACACATAACGGCAGTGCATCTTCCTCACGATTCCAACAGACTGCGGGGATCAAGCTGAGCATCATCAGGCCCACACGACTGCACATTTTCACTGCGCTCTGTGCCGTAGCTGTGAATCCCATACCGGAGTCGTCTGCGAAGCTTTGCACAGCAAGTCTTCGAGCTAGGCAGAGATCGCTTCATGGAGTTCTGGGTCTGCAGGTCTCAGGCAAATTCAGGGGCATGGCGTGGAAATGCCTGGAAGACTACCGGAAGATTCTTGAGTTCGACGACACTCTCAAACATCCCTTCAAAGCTGCAAAAACGAGAGCAAATGAGGCAAGGCAGGTTTTAATCAACTGAGGCTCCTCGGCGAGCTTGACGACTCATCTTCTGCGGACGTTGTCGCCTTTAGTGCGGTCACAGGCTCTGAGGGTCTGATCCTCTCTCACGTTGTGCCATGTTGAGATGCGGCAAAATAATCAAGGCCATGGCTGTGTTGGAGACGGCAGGCTGTGAGGTTCTGAGAATTTTCTGTTCTTCCTGTGGTGAGCTTTAGCAATCTTGTCGGCCGAGGCTGGCAGCAAGCGTTTGGCCTGCTCGCTGAAATGCGAGGCCGGGTTGTGGCACCCGACTCGCCTCAATCCCAGGATTTCCTTCCGGGTTTTGAGTTCTGCCGTCGACGTACGTTTGGTTATGCCTCCTTAGGTATACGTACTCGGCGTTGCTTGGCAGCTGCAGAGCTTGGGCAAGCGACAACGAGGACGTTGCCTTATCCACGCGCTTCGGAAGAGCTTCACAGGGCCCGACAGGGCCCGCGGACTGCTGTGGAAAGGCGGCGGCACTCAATGCAGCGCGGGCCTTGCTGGCAGATGCACGGGACCGCCGCGAGGCGGGTCACGGTCTTGCATCATGTTGAACCCAAAGCCTTGTGACGTCAGGCAAACGAGGTTGTGATTGGCGCGATGCTACGGATCCTTGAGCTGCCTAGCCAAACAGTGAGACAGCAGAAGCATTTACTCGTATGTGACAGTCATAGCAATTGGCTCTGCACGTGAAGCTCAGGTTTGCGGTGCTGTGGGCTGAAGCTCTGGATCTGCTTCACAAGGTTGTCACTTCAAGATCTGTGCTGCTGTCAGACAAGGTAGGTTTTCTCAAAGACTTCCATGAAAGTTTCGGAGGCACCATCGAGACAGGCTGCAGGACGAGGGCTGGAGCCTTGGTTCTCCGCGACTTCACATTCGGTGAGGGTGGCGGGTGGCATGCCGAGTCGAGGCCGAATCTCATCAACTATGCATCCGCCGCAAGCGCGTGTGCAAAGGACTAAATCCGAAGCTTTGTGTGGGGTGTGAGAAGCCTCGCAGATCGTGTCGAGCTAGCTCGGTTAGAGTGGTGAGAGCCCGTGAGAGCGAGCAACTGGATTCGGGCCGACCAAATGAGCGCAGGGCCACAAGTGGGAGTGCTGCTTGGATTTGCTGCGGGAGCTTGAAGAGGCAGGGCTTCAGCTCGAAACTCCTGCCTGCAGCAATCGAGCCCGCAGGCAGCGTTACAGTTTCGGTGAAGTCGGGTTCGCTCAGGCCGGCACCAGTCCGGACATTGTCCTTCTCAGTGCTGTGATCTCCGCTTGTGCGGAGCCTACGATGTCCGGATGTCCGTTCTGGCCTTGCCTTGTACGCTGAGGTGAACGTAGTTTTGAGTGGCAGCGAGCGTTGGCAGTCCTGGTCGCTTGTCTCGGAATCAGTATGCAACTTCTGCCCAATCGGGCTCTCTTTCCCAAAGCACAGTGTGCTCGAGGCATCTGCAGGCTCTCCGGACGCTGTGGCGTCATGGCCCCCATCATGCTGCACCATTCAGCAGTTGGAACTTCGCGTGCTTGACCCGCTGAATTTCAGCTTTTTTGGCACAGGTGCAGGTCGGTGATAGTGGAGCCATAATCCTTGAAGTGCCCAAGGTCTGCGCACTTTAGAGTTAGAGCCCCGTGGAAGAACGGAAGATGCCGAGCTCATGTTAAAGGAGCAGCTGTCAGCATTCCAATCAAGACACTCAGTAGCAATACTTGCATTATCGCGCATGGCGCGGCACAGTTGTGGTCAGGGTGGAAGGTAGGGATCTTGGTACTGGATCTTGGTCTCGTCAGTCTTCACGTCATACAGATTCCTCTGCTAGATTGTCATGTGCACAGGTGGAGATGCTGGGCATGGACTATCGCTGCGGTTTTTGCAGTGGTGTTGAACAGGCGATCCAGGCAGGAGAGATTCCGGGGCAGATCTGCAGACCGGAGTTGTCCAGGTCCATGTTTAAGCTGTTTGGAGAAAGCACAAGCCGGTAGTTGCCATCAATGGAGTGACGGACACCGATTTTTGCTAGACGAGCAGGCGTCCAGAATCTAACTTTGCGCAGCCTCCGCTCTCGCCGTGTGCTAAGCTGCTCTGTGAGTTCTTGCCTCGTCCTTTGACGTGTCTTGCCAGGCTGCTGTGAGGGTGCAGACGTGTCTTTGTGTGACGGCTGTCGAAGGCCACCGCCACGCCGTGGAGTTTTAGCTAGGCCGGCTGCCGCCCTGGATATGTTAGGAGCTGTCCTTCTAGAAGCTTTTGCAAGGTGCCAGTCCGCCACCCAGACTGTCGATCCCGACTTGGCCGCAAAGCTGGAGGCCGCAAAGGTGCCCTCCACCGAAGCCGAAAGTGGTGTTCTACTGAACGACATGGTAGAGATATCTTTCCAGGCGCGGGTGGCGCAAGCCAAAGAGGCGGTGAGCCTTTTCAGGACATGCTGTATGCCCTGCACAGCTTGTTGACTTCTGTGTAGAAGTCTGCAGTCTTGAGGACAGAGCTTTGTGGGCGCAGTTTTCTCTCGCCGGAGATTAACCAACCACTGCTTACAGAGATCTTTCTTTCCTTCGTCCGCAAGGCTCTTTGCGCAGAAATAGACTCGTTATTGCCTGAATCTGCATGACTTTCCCTCAAATCGACGTATGCAGCGTGGGGGGCACACTTGTTCTTGCTGGACAGAGCGCCGCAGCCATGCGGGAGCCGATACTGGACAAGGCACTGGCAGGAATTATTCCCGATCCTTGACTTCAAGTTAAATTGAAGGCGTATATATGGTCAGGCGTCTGGCGTTCCCAGCCCCCCCCCCCCCCCAATGGTATGGTCTGATAGGGGTGGGGGGGGGGGGGGCTGGCGTGTGCGGAAAGGGGTTGGGGGCCGTTGGAGCTGCCACCGGATGGTGGGGTGGCGCTGGCGGCCAGGGCTCACGCGCAAGCCCTTCGCAAGCAAGCCGTAAACCCTATAACGCAGCGCATGCCCCTGTTTTGAGCAACCTTAACTTGTACTTAAAACGCTACACCCAACCCTAAACCCCACCTAACTGCAGGCTCTAAGCCTAAAGCAGAGCATACACCGAAGCCCTTGTCGACTCGAAGCCTTATACCCTGTAACCGTAAACCCCAAACTCACAAGCTTAAGCTAAACCCTAAACCCCAAAACCCCACAACCACCCACAGGGGGAAGAGGAACCACACACCCCACACCACAGGGGAGGGGGGGGCCCCACCCTATATCCGGACCATTGACCTTTGGGGGGGGAGGGGGGGGGGGGCTGCGGAGCGCGTGACCATATATTGCCATGCCTGCGGATGCGAATGCAGCATGACGATGCACAACGTATCCCAGGACATTGGCAGTGATGTCGAGGCCCTCGAGTCACTTGCTGGAATGGCATTGCTCTTGGTGGAAGAATGGCTGAGGCCTTGGCGGCTTTGGTTGGCGCCATGGCTGCAGCAAGGCAGGGATTGCGTTGCAACGGAGTAGTCCAGCCTTTAGAGCGGTGGCAGGCTGCCTCATGATCCAGCTTGGCAACTGATGGCAGACGCGGTGGCACAGGCTTGCATTCGCAGCTGAGAGCACGCATTGTCCACCCAAGTTCTAACTGGCGGCCGCCATATGCAGTTGTAAGTATAATTATATGAGACAGCAACCGCAGACCGCAGCAACCCCACACTGATGGAGAGACATTCTCACGGCCTCACGGGATCGGGGAGGAGTGCCGCGGTGCCTCAGCGAGGCAGCTGACGGCTTTTGCCTGGGCCTTCGCGACGGCACGCGAGCCCAGGCCTGCAGAGCGTGGCGAGCCACTCTTTCTCACGGGGAGGGGCACTCTGCGGTTGCGCTTGGAAGGCAGGATTTGTGGGATTCCTTGAAGGCAGCGATGGCAGGCCCGTGCTGTCTCGATGCCAGGTGCAGTCTTGCCTGCTAATTCGGAGCTGCAGGTAAACTCGGACAACTTTCTGCAGATGAGCGAGTGACATTCGCTTGGTGCTCTGGATTATTTGGCTGCCATGCACCACCGTAGCCTGAGCAGGCCTGATATGATACGCTCAGACCCAAAATCAGACGTCTGTAAAGTCACAGAAGTAAACAAGGAGATCTTGTGCTTTTGTTGCCGAGCCTGTGTCCAAACGATCGAGGTCATGTGCAGAAGTGAACCAGCACGCGCACCCCAGCTGCAGGAATTGGTCTTCTTCACGAGTCCGGGCTCTAGTGCTGTGTCTGATGCTCACAACTTTTCTGGAGGGAGGGTGATGCCCATCACACAAACATACTAGAACTCAGGAAAGAGCTACCGAGGCTCATCATCGGACCATTAAACTCTCGTCAACGAGTTGGAGCAATAAGGTCTTTGTTTGAGGCCGTGGGCCGGGCTTGGGCAGGACAAACGTAATGCAAGACATGGATTTGCGAAAGGAGAAGGAACGGCCGAAAGAAACGACACATCACAGAAGAAGCTAGCCAAGAATTGGTACGTGGCGTCGCGAGAAGTTATTGCCGGACTGACAAGACCTTCACAGAGATTTTGATGCGCCTCTTCCGGCAAGCGAAGTTCGAACCTGTTCATCTATCTTGTAAACATAGCCCGCCGTTTCTCATAGCCCCAACATAAGGCTCGGGGCTTGGTACTTCGGAGCGGTTGTTCTAGCTGTCGAATTTTTTTGTTTGCTGCCAGCCCCTTGTTCGCGTGCTGTTTCATGTTGACCGTCCTTCCGGATGCAAGATGTTTCCAGTGTGATTGTCATAATAAGCTCCTGCCGATTGTGTTTGTGGTCGCTTTCGTCTCGCGTCATGTCGGCAAATGGTTCTGTCAGGCGAGACCTATTTGGAGATGTCAGCGAGTTCGCAGCTCCGAGCCTTGTCTGCTTCATCCAGTGTCACCGAGCATTCAACCCTCTACTACTTCAGGGAAGCGTCCGCAAAGATGCTAGAGGCACGGCGATAGCATTGATCCTGAAGTTTCGCCTTTGACTCTCCACGCTTGGGCTTGGAGGCAGTTCACGCCCTGCCTGGCCAGATATTGCTTGCCGACCCTGTGCCATGGCACACAGGGGGTGGCTCTCATGGACAGCCTCACAGTGCAACGATGTTACAAGTGGAAGGGAAGGGTTCTTGTTCAGGTGCCCATCCGTCTGGTACCAGACGTGCTCGTCGAGGAGCATGGACAGGCAGAGTGGTCACGCCTTGAATCTGTTTCGTAGGAGGAACTAGCTTTCTTTTCGAAGAAATCCCCAGGCGCCTCGAGCATCGCCAGGAACTGATTCGCATTGCCGATGATGCTCAGCTTTGGTCCCAGTCGAGTCGTCGTGCTGCCCGAGATGCTCGTGGGGAGGACCGGTGCAGCCACGACACAGGGGCGAATCCTTAGGCCGCAGGCATCCGCCGCAGGCCCTCCAAAACTTACTGAGTCTGATTCCAGGATGCTCTCCGGACTTCCTCTTCGGCAGCTTGGCGTGGCATGCGTGGCCTTTGAGAGTGTCTGCTGCACACAGAGACCATGCAGTTGCCCTGCGTTCGACAAAGGCGGTCCTCAGCTTGCCGAGCATGTTTGGAAATCCGGCTGTGCGGGCAGCAGGGCCGCATCTCGGGGGGTCATTCCGGCTTTGCGCGGTCTCCGTTTCGATTCCAGCTGCTCACTGGCCGTCACTGCTCTGCTCTGCTAACCAGGGCAGTGGCAATTCGTTCCTGAGGCGGTGCGTATCTGGGCCTCAAAGGCGCTGCAAGTGCCAGAGGAGCTCGGCAGCAAGTTCAGGGCATGGCCAGGTCACACCAGTGCTCTTTGGCATGCTTTGGCTAAAGTGTGTAGGCTGGCATCGTAGCATGATCCAGCTCGATATCGCTCAGTAGGATCTCTTTATGTCTGCAGAGGACTTCGTGGAGGCACTGCAGTTGGTGCGATACCGGAAGGGCGAGCAGTACAGCCCCTTTGGCAAAACAGAGAGAAGAGACAATCTTCTCGAATCAGCAGCGTGGCCCGTGCGTTTGAGGCACCCATGTGGACTGGGGTCGTCAGCAGGACAGCATGCAGTCTCACGGGCAGTCGAAGTGGTGTGGGAGGAGGTGCTTCGTTAAGATTCATGCAGGATGCCTCGTTGTGGCTGGGCGGTCAGCGAACAGCAACGGCACTGCGCCCTGGACAGAATGGGGGCGCATCGAAGCTTTGACCGCTTTGACCATGCTGCGCAAAGGATCTACCTCAACAACTTGCCAGATGGCTGCGGTGGCGAGACCTCCTTCGACAGGCCGGGCATGGCCGGGCCGCCGGATGCCGCTGAGTGGCTGCCGGGTCTTGGAGTTCTTCCCGCCGCGGAGGCTCGGAGTCTCCGTGCGGCCGCAGGCGGGCGCTGCTCTGGTCTGGCCGAACGCGTCTTGGTCGCAGCACATGGAAACCCCACTCACTGCAAGCGCGCTGCGGACCGAGCCTCAGAGAGGTGGATGCGGAGGGCCGGCCGCAGGACCTGGTCGAACATCGAGCCCTGTGGCTTGGCTGTGCAAATTCCAGAGCTTACGATGCTACGGGAGAAAGAGACAGAGAGAAAGGCCTCTTCTGTGCGATGTCCCCAAATATGCGGTCAATGTGTCTTGGTGCTGAAGCTTAAATCGTTTCATCTTTGCTGCAGTTGGCTTGGTGCACCTTTTTTATCCTGACTTGTGGAGGTGTGGATTCGCGAGAAGTCGCTGCCGGCCTACGTAGGACGAGCTTGAAAGAATCATTTCCGCATGGAGTGGGCCGTGGTGTGTCACGGACCTTCTTCGTTGCACCCAGCGTGGTGCAGTGGGCGATCAAGCCTTTTACACTTGAAACTGATGGCTGCCCCAGTTTTGCTTCCTGGTACTTGTTCGGATCATACTCTAGCTAGTGAGCTTGATGCCCAGCTTGAGCGCGCTCCCTTTTCTCAGGACAAGCTTGTACAGGTCTTGTGGTTTTCCTCTCGGGCCGGCGTGGCTGATTGTTTTACACTCCAACAGTTGGAGGATTCAGCGGCTATGCAACCACAAGGGCGGTGGTTGCACGCAGAGGGCGATGGAGCTGGTACTTTAAGGCTGTTGCTTTGAATGCGCTGCCACTGGGAACTGGCACCATGCGGCCGGCGTTCCTGAACGCACCGTTGCAATTGCCAAGGCAAGAGATAGCAACAAAAAGGCGTAGGGCAAGGTCCATCCTTTGCATCTTCAGCATCCCGAAAGCCGAGATGTGAGCACTCGATGAACCTAGCACATGCATGTGTCAGCCACTTGCACTGCGTGTGTGCAACATGATCCTGAGGATCAGCTCAACTATGCTTGCGTGCAACAAGGTCTCAAGCTCAGCAATCATCCAGTGACCGATTCAAGAGTGTGTCGCTCCATTCAGCACGTGACAATCTGCAGCAAAGCCACCACGATTCGGATCCATTCAAGAGCTGACCTTGTTCCGCAAGTTACTTCCTTTAGACTCTAGACATCAGTGGAAATTTCCTGCGAGGCTGGCAAGTGGGCCAGGGTCCCGGCACAAGCTTTGCATTGCATGTCAGTAGCTGGGGCCATCAAGGGGCAAGCGCGTCTTGCCCCACTTGAAAAAGAAAGCTAGGACTGTTCAAGGTTGTGCAACTCGTGCCACTTCAGCTGAGGCTTGGGGTTTAGGGTGTTGGGGTACGCGTCCTGACCTGCTCAGGGTTTCGGGGTTTGGGTGTTTAAGGGTTTATAGGGTTTTCGGGTTTAGGTTTCAGGGTTTAGGATTTAGGGGTCTAGTTTAGGTTTTAGGGTTTAGGGTTTGCGATTAGCTGGGCTGGATCACTAGTTTGGAAGAGGATGGTATCCACAAACCCAGAAAATCCCAAAACATCAGGAACCATAATGGTTTCTTGTTTTTAAACAGAACCCTAGGCCCCAAACCCCATGCCCGAAAACCCCAGGCCTTAAACTCCAAGCTCCAAACCCGTGGTGCAGCCCAGCACACTAAACCCTGCCCTGAACAAACCCTAAATTCTCGGAAACATCCCAGAATTTGCCCCAAACTCTGTGCATCTCTGTGCACGCAATTCTGCGCGTCGCAATGGTCCGGAAGACTGTCTCGGATACAACGGAGGAAAGACGAGCGAAGTGTCGACAACCGTCGAACTGATCGTTCTAAAAGATTGATGCGCTGATGCTCTGGAATTGGTCAGGCCTGTGACTGAACGTGCCACTCAATTCCCGCACTGTACTTTTGAATTGTGCGACTCTTGATCTTGACGTCGCCGCGTCATGAGTGTGTGTTGACCACTCGGCGACTGCAATGATCTCGAGCCCATCCCGGAAGCGTTTGCCATGTTTGCCACAGCTGAGGATCTCTCGCTGAATCTTCTTCGTGAAGCCTGCGATGCGTGCACGCCGGGACTCTCGGTGGAAACTCGTTCAGATAGGAACCTGTCTCGAAGTTTTAGCAAGGTCTGAAGACTGGCTCCCCGAAGAGACCGTTTCAGCAACTTGGCACTGGATTGCCAGCAGTGTGTTAGCTACTAGACTCGTTTCTGGTTCGAGGTCGTCGGCGCCGGCCTGGGCGCCTGCGCCGAAAGCGGCGCCTGGCAGCAAGCCCTGCTATTGCTCCAGAAGGCGCCGAACTCTACAAGGAAATTCGCGTGCTTGGAGGATGTCTGAGATTCCCATTGTCTTCAGTCCTGCAAGTCAGTCTGATCTGACTTAAGCCAGCTCAGCACGTAGCAGTGCGCAGAGGTGAGAGCCCGAGCTCTGAATTGCTGAGCCCAGCCCGTTCGAAGTGGGATTATCAATGCTCGCTGATAGTACCGTCACAAGGCTGTGGGCTGCAGGAAGTCTTGGCCTGTATCGGCAGACCAGTTTTCACTATTGTCACAGGCAGCGGGCAGTATTGGATGCGTAGCTCGGCAAAGCCTGAAGGTGAACCAAGCTGTCGCAGCACCTGAGAGCGCCAAGGCGGACGGCCAATTCTCGGGCTGCGGTAAACACTTTGTCGTTGTGTCTCAGGCCTTGTCTCCATGGGTCCGCGAGGCCAGAAGTACAGCGCGGCTCCCGGCTTTCGTCGAACTTGAGGTCGTTGCTTGGAGCTATACTGATGCACAACCGCCGTGCAAAATCTTGGAAACTAGGCAGAGGGAGCTAGCAGGATGTGCTTCGTGGCATGGTGAGCGAAAGCCCTGAAGCCTGAGCCTTGTCGACTGATGCTGCAGGCCATGCTTGCTGCCATCCGAGCCGCAGCTTGGAAACCATGCCTGGCATTGCTGGACTTGCAAGGTGCAAGTTCTCATGCCGGGTTGACGGGTTGAAAAAGAAAAAGGCGAGAGCAAAATGTCAATAGGCTGAACAGGGTATTACCTTCGCATGGCCAGTCCCTTTTCTCGCGTAAGGTGGCGCAGTCCGATGCCCCTTGCTCGTAATTGCCGCAAAGGGCAAAAGGACGTAGGCATTCAATGACCCATGCCATGCTTGAAGCGATGTGGCAATGGAGGTGCACCTAGCGAGCAGCTGGCTGCTCTGGGCTGCGCTGTGCGTGCATGCGGCCTTGGCAGGTCCAAGGCTTAAATGTTGCATGCGTTTTCTGCTCAAAAGCATGACAGTGGCTAAGCCACTTCACCTTCATCGCCGTTGACGTCGAATGCTCTTGCATCCAGGAATTGGCAGGGAGCACTCGAACTGTCTGCGAAGGCCGAAGCCAGGCCTTCACAAGCTCAATCGTCTGCTTGCATTGTGGGTTCTGGACCAATGTGCTGTTGATATGGCGTGTGGCGATTCTGCATGCGCCTTTTGAAGTTAGTTCGTTGCAGTTATTCAGACCAGCTGTCGTGCTAGTGTTTCATGCGGTTACCAGGGCCGTGGAAGAAGAATGGGGCAATATCTGGAGCGCACAAAGCTGGGCGTGCCAGGCAACGGCTGCTTATGAGTGTGATAGTAGTGCTGTAGGTAGGAACCCGTTGTCAAGGATGTGATATCTGGTAGGTGTCTGCATTGAGGGCATGTGATTTTGCCTGAAACTGTTTGGGGAACATGTCAAGACTGCAGTTGAACTGAAAGTCTCAAGAGGTTATTGTGGGCATCTTGTGTCGAAGAGTTGAGTATTCAGCAGGTTCGCTCCGAACACAAGCTGTCTGAGTCACTCGCAGGCCTCGGACGCTCCACAGCCCGTGGCTGCCGGCTTCAGGATACTTTCCCTGCCTATGTAGAAAAATCTTGCTGCCTTCGAAGTCCTGCACAAGCAAAGGAACAGAGCCGGGTGCCGGGGGTGGCAGGGTTGTGATTCGTAGGGAGAAGTAGAGCGGGTGGGTTTGCCCTGAGCCACGGCTGTGCTGTCACACTGTCTCGCATCCGTTCTTGCACCGTGCAATGTCAGCAACGTGTCCCGCGCCTGTCGGGCTCAGCAGCTACGGGAAGGGATCCAGAGGCAAACCTGTGGCATTATCATGTTACTTTGATTTGTAGCCACGAGCACAAGTTCTTAAGTTCTTTTGCAGCTTAAAAGTAGGTCGCCGTGATGGCAACTGGAAGGCCCAAGCTGAGTGACATATGCATGCCCTGGTTATTCATACATTGCTTACACTTGCGAGTTCTTCAGCGTAGATGGCATAGCCAGCTGCACGCCTTGCTTCTCAGCCACGGGTTTCTTCGCACCTTCGGGAGGTATCAATATTTCTCGAATTGACGAGGCTTTAGGAATCCTCGTTTAGCTTTCTCCGACTGCACATCTATCTGACTATGTTCACAAGCTGTACACTTCGGCAGTCATCGCACGTTACTGGAGCCTCCAAGGGCTGGAGGGCCATGCTGCAGGGGGACACATCACCCGCAGCAGAGCCTTGACTTGCACATCAATCTCGAACAGTCCCAGACTTTGCAGTCTGGACCAGATGAGGGTTGGGAGTGATGGATCTGGAGTTGGAGTTTGTACGTTGCGGTACCCTGATTGGCTCTAGCGCGCGGGCTTTGACACTCGGCGATACGGTTGGACGAGCGTCCCGAATCTGAGCCCAGATCTCAAAGCCTTCATTCAGCCTGCGTTCACTCACCGCGATTCAAGCAGCACAGCGATTCAAACACAAAGCACGCACGATTCAAGCATGCACTAGTGCCTGCCCTGCACAGGGGTTGGGGTTTTGAGGGCACAGGGGTTATACGATTCAAAGGTAAGCTGTGTTTAAGGATTCGATATTGTTTATCCTATTTGCTACTTTGTTAAAGATAGGTGCGGGGCTTTTCGGGCACGGCGTTTTGGGCTTGTGTTGAGTCGTTGAAGGGTTTCACAGTTTGGAGCATTTAAAGTTCAGGTTATGGGTCGGGCTTAAATAGGGTTTAGGCTCCGGTTTAGGCTCCGTCAGTGTTGTCAAGCTCAGCTTTCGTGCTTGTGGAGAAGGCGTGAAAGTGTCGCATTCACAATTGTTAGTGTCACAGCATGAAGAAGGAGGAGGAATTGATTTACCTCCGTGCCATTTTGGCGCGAGGATATTAATTTTGATGCGCGGGCGGTGCCATGGTTTGTTTCTTGCCCTGAGCGACGAAATTCCTTCTCAAGGCACACAAACAATTCGGCCGACACCACCGATGTTCCAGATGGCATGATGACCCTGTCGGCGATGCGTGCCAAAGCGCTGAAAATGTAATGCCTGCGGATGCTGTCATCCCACTGGAAGCCGCACAGGCGATAGCAAAGCAAGAGCGAGAGCGGCATCCTGGTGCGAACCCAGCAGAGTGGAGACGGCGAATCGGCACTTCTGCATGCTGTTGGTGACCTTGATGTGCACGCTCTCGAACACGTCCTGGAGCATCACTGTGTTGAGCTGCATGGCCCCTTTCCGACCCCTTGTGGACCCGAGTTCGACGCTTGAAGATGCCCGTGCCCAGCCCGCTCTGCCCTCCGCTGTCCTGGAGTTCAATCACCATGCTGACTGCGCGCGTGCGACGTTTGTGAAGGTACTCGAACAGCTCGAGCACTGTTGAGCTTGCAAGCATCCCAATCGTTCGGGCTAGGGGGCGCAAGAGTAAAGCTGAGACGCAGGACGCGCGGCAAGGGAGTGTTTGGGCTGATCGAGACATTGGGTATATAGGACTTCCTCTGGGGCCACTTGCGTGTCGAGCTAGACCAGATGGGAACGCTGTATGGACGTGCAGTTGCCAGTTGAAATTGCCGGTTGCACGTTTGCCGCAAGGTTGTCCGACCACGCTTGCGTGACGGTCTGCAAAACGCCATCACGTGGTGGTAACACTCTTGCACACCGTGCATCCGCAGTGGTATACCACCAGCCACCACGATAGCACTTGCCGCAGCGCGGCGCACGACCCGGTGCGCAAAAGCGGTGGTACTATACAGGTGCTACTCTTTTGCATCCCTGTCGCATGATGGGAGCGACTGCTCTCCTTGCAGCCGGATTCCCGGTCAGGCATCCCGCCACATTTGGGGCCAAACCACCGCAAATATGTGCTCGGGCTCGACCGTTACCACAGGCACATGTTTGCCACATCCGAGAAGATTCAAGGCGGCATCTCCACCACCGGTCGTGTTGCCCGAAAGCCGTGCTCCAGGCAGGAGAGCCCGGAGCATGCATCACCGATGGGACTCGAAAGTCTGTGCTGCTTTCCGTTCGCCCTTCTCCTTGAAGAGCCCTGCTTGAAGCCAGCGGGATGCGTGACCGAAACCTTAGCAACATGACTTTTCGCACTTTCGTGCGTGTTCAAGTGGCTCTCCAGCCCCATGACAGATAGACGTGATGTGCACTTCATCACATAGATAATGCAACTTTCAACCACACCCCACTTATCCATCACCGTCAGCCACCACATGCCACATCGGCGAATTACCCACAAGTACTGGGGCCTCGATCTTCCCCCCTGAACTTGTTGGGATACCGGACCTACTTGCCTTCTTACTTGCCAACCTGTGGCATGGATCTTTCGGGAGCTACTTGTAGCCCCCGGATGTGACTGGATGAAGCACGAGTGTTTGGGTAGCCCAAATATAATTAGCAAGACTGTTCCTGCTCGCGCACACCCAACCCACGGAATCAGAGGGCCACCGTAGTGCTCGAGGAGCAGCTCGAGGAGCAGCACATCCTTAACAGTAACCCGGGACGAGTTCTCCCGCGTTGATGCACCGACGCATGGCAACCTCTTGCTGCGACATAGCATCTGTGTAGGGAATCGCTACATGGTCTTGAGTTCCTGCTTTCAAGTGTTGTCGCCAGTTCCGAACTTTCGGCATCACACTTTCAAGACAAAGGGCGGTGCAGCACCAGAATGTTGGAAGTGGCATAGATGTAGGTAGAGAGTCTGAGCAGAACAAGGATGGCGGCGGCGACGGAGACCCTTGGGACGAGGCTTGGCAGCGGTGAGTGTGCACGGCGTGAACGGAACATCTGCGGAAGGCGGCGCTGCGCTTGTCCGCCCGTGCCTTCCGCGCCTGGCGTGCTGCGCAAGCCCCGGCCCGCCACTCCTCGGCCTCTGTGGTGCTCGGCAGTGCCTGGACCCGAAGAGTTGTTGAGAGCATTTTTGAGAGCCATAGCCACAGAGGCCGTAAAAGACATTAAAGGCACATGCATTTCCATGGGTTACATGACGTCTCATCCCGCTTGAAGGCGCCGCATATCGTCAGCTCGGCCTCGGACGTCGACGCAGTCGCCAGCCTCTTGTTTTGAATTAAGCAGAGCTTACTCTTGCCCTTGATGACTGTTCCGACGGCTACAGGAGTTCTGTTAGATACGTGCTATGCGCATTCCGAGCCGTGCAAGGTCTGTGCAGACGGAGCCGGCCTATGAGGTACAGCATGACAATCCAGTTTCGCAGACGGATGGCGCAGTTCGCGAAGCCCTCTCGTGGCCCGGCAGAAAAAGATGCAGAGCTCCCGCCAGCCTCCAGCCCCACGAAACGGCCGGGCCGCGGCATCTGAGGTCCATCGCGATGTCTTCCGCGGCAGAGCCGTCAAGCGAGAAGGATCCGCCGAGCAGGAGCTTCCCTTTCCCTGCTGCCTGCGGCGGCGATTCAAAGCGTTCTTCCGTCGCAGAACGTTTGTTTGTTTCCGTCGCAGAGGCCTTCTTCGGACGTGGATGAGCGGCCTGGGCTGAGCGGGACGGAGCCTTCGTCTGCCGGGATTTCTTCGTCACCTCGACGCGACCAGGAAGTGTCTCTTCGGCAGCCAGTCAGAAATCATAGGGTTCCTCGTTGCCAGGCATCGGGAGACACGATCTGCATCCCTTCGATTGTTGTCTCCCTCAGGAGCAGCATGTGGCGATGTCATTGGAAGCAGATGCTCCAGCCACAGAACTACGGTCAGGCCTACCTGACGTTGAGTCACAACCAGATGCGCTTCTCAGATGCAGCTGGCAAGTCTGAAGTCGCTGCCCCGTTTCTGCTCCCTCCAGAGTTTTCCGGAATGAGGTTCGCCCCGCCACCCCTACAGGGAGTGCATGCGTGACCTGGCGGCACGCAACAGGTTCTATTTCCATCATTGCTCATCGTTTGCGATGTTTGTGGCTTCTTCACTCAGGCTCGGTGAGGAAGCATCTTTGCCGCAATCTCAAACTGCAGAAGTTGACTCGGTCGCCTCGCGAGATCAAGAAGTTGCTGGGGCACCGTCACCACTCCCTGGAGAAGACGAAGACGGTACAAAAGCTGACTCAGCTGAGATCCAAACACAGGAGGACGAGCCAGCCCGTTCTATGGCCGAGGGGCAGTTCGACGAGTCGAGCGCAAACAAGCTTCCGTTCGACGACGGAGAGGAGGCGCCCTGTTGCACGTCCAAGGTTTTGACAAGCTTGGACGTGAGAGAACTCTGCTGTCAGGATCCGGGCGGCTACGCCGGCGCTGAGCAGAGTGAGACAGCAAGGCCTGGCCGGGAGTACCCTGCGCCGAAGCGCTGCTACGTTCTGGTGCCCTCCAGGCCGAGAGACCAACGATGGCACGTCCTGGGTGGGAACCTCAGCAGGTGAGAGGCGATAGCGTGACGAGTTCACAATTTTCAAGGTGACGACGATCCACCGCCCCGCGCCTCCGAGGGTGCCGCGATCTCAAAACATAGCAGGCTGGTTATGAAAGTGGAGGGGCTTCAAAGCATCTTCTGGTGAGGCTCTACTGCTGTCGGAGCAGAGGTTGAGGCCGGTGGTTAGCTGACTCCTTGTATCCCTGCATCTCGCCAATCCTGCAGGCAAACACGCCGCCATCTTCTGGCAAGCTGCGTCACGGCTTGGAAAGAAGGCGTCACATGCGGCCGAAGACGAAGTGGCTGCACGGCCCCTCCAAACCTACGTGGCAGGTGTGGGCTTCCTCGTCAGCTCCTCTCTTTGGCAAGACGATGAGGATCTCACGCGAGGGATGTAGGGACTGGTGGCTGGAGCTCCATCAAAGGTCCTGCATAAGTCTGCCGAATCCACCAAGCAATGTCATATCATTCACCGCCCTGATGCCAGCAATTAAGATGTGGGTAGCCTGCCTCTGGCCATTGGCCGAGAAAGAGCGCAAACCATCACTGCTGCCTAGCCAGTGCCGGAAATGGAAGAACAGCCAAAGCGTCTGTGCTTCTTTTTTGAGTTTAGTTGTGTGAGTCATTCGATGCCTCATGCACCAATCCATAGTCATCGAGAGGTAGATTGAAAGGGAAGGTTGATCGGCTGTCACTTCGCTGAGTGAAGGCAGTAGCTTCGGCCTGGCAGCACTCTGAAGGAGGACATGCGGCGCTGGCATTTGCGCGGCCTGGCTCCGACCTGAGGAGAAAGCTTCCGACTGAGAGATTTTGGAAGCTCCTCGGACTGAGGAGCTTCGTCTCCAAGGCTGCCAAGCCGTGCGGCAGCAGGCCGCTGGGAGCTGCCTGGCCGCCTCGCCGCCTCTCACTGTAAAACTCGATGTCTGCTTTGCTGCCTCCTCGCAGGAGATGGAAGCCAGTCGCGAGGCGCAGGCTGCGCTGCAGGTGCGACTCAGCAAGCGAAGCTGTTCGGAATTCGGAATCAGCTCGATTCCCAGCTGCTGGCAACGTGCAGATGCAGTGTTGAGGCCAAGAGTCAAGAAGAAGTGAAGAAAGCAGAGGCCAGGCATGGCGGCATGGCCAGGCTGCCAGGCCTTGTGGGAAATGTGAGACCTGGCAGGTGCGAGTGCGAGAGGAATTTCAAGCCCAGTTACAAGCACAGGCTCCGAGCGTTCTTGCTCATCTTGCTCATGAACACTGGTGCACAGCCGTGTACTTGTGCTTGCTTTGGCTTCTGCCTGTTCTGCCTTCAGTGTTTCACCTTGGTTGGTCCGTGGCCGCAATTCTCAGAGCCTCAGAGCCCGAGCATGAGCCGACCCAACCGCCCAAGATCTGAGGAGCCTGTTAACACTGTTGCAAGTATTGCCGTTCCATTCCGTGTCTTGTTCGCGACTTTGACTGCATCAGCAATAAGGCAATAACAGCACCAAGTCAGACTTCCGCCGTCTGCTGTCGTGCTCCATGCTCAACCTCTCTAGCTTCGTTCACAAGTCAGCTAGTTGCAAGCCCAGACCTGACACAATTCACAAGCAAGCTTGCCGAGCCTGTGGTGCATTTCTTCTTGCTGCCACGCTTCTTGGCATCAGGTTGGTCATTGTGCTTTTGCTTTTGCCGAGACTTACTGTTCACATGTGGTGCATCTGTGTAACCGGTGAGCGAGATGGAGTGTTGCTTGCCAAGGCCTTAAACCATGGGTGATAGCAGCCGGGAAGAGATTTGTGCCTCAGCCTTGCTCATTCGCAGTTTCTCAAAACCAGGATGATAACTTGCAGATTCAGCTTTGAGCAGAGTCGTGTTGCGACCAGCGCAACCGTGATAGTCTCTTGCACGCTTCGGAACGAGGTGCCCAGCTTCGGCAAGCTCTGGAACTTCGAGCAAAATACTGCGAAAGGCTGCCGCCAAAGAGGAGCATGCAAAAAAGGCAAAAGGGAGAGCCGAAGCGAGTGGAAGTTCCGGCAGGAGCTCCTTCCCAAAGTCGGGAAAGCTGGAGTTGAAGTGGCAGGATGGTTTGCTCCAGGTTCGCCGCTCTGCCGCAGTGGCAGAACCCAAAAGAGAGCCGCAGCCGTCCCATTGCTTCCGAGAAGCTTCTATGAGGAGAGAAGGGCTCCGAGCAGTCGCTCTTCCAAGTGCCGAGCCTGGACGAATACTACGATGACATGCCCCCAAGCTGCTTCATTCCTCGGGGCATTTGTGTCATCTCTCCGTAGCGCTCTATCTTCTGTGCACAGACTCAGAGACTCTTTCATGCGTGTCAGGAACACACTCTTTCACATCAGGCCTGGGTCTTTCCTCTCACGTCTGCCGGGGAAGTCCTGAGTCACCGGTGAGTCCTGCCAGGTCATCTGGGCCCGTTTCCAGCTATGCGTATCAGAGGCTGAGATTGCTACAGACAAAGTTTGAGCTGTATACCATGGCGACTTGGCTAGTTATGAAACCTTCTGCGGTCGGTCTTATTCTTCCACAACTCCATAACCTTCTTGTGAGGTCTTCGGGGACCAGGAAGCCCAGGACGGCAGCTGTAGGCTGCAATTTTCAGCTCGGGACGGGAAGGTTGCAGGTCGAGCCTTCCTCATGTTGAAACAGGATGCGATGGAGACAGGGCACCGAGACCCGTGGATGCACGTTTCGTCTCTTCAGTTCAAAGCTTTGGCGGCCTTGTCCGTGGAGAACTGTAGCCGTAGCCTTCTACTCCGAATAAGGATTTCTACAACGTCAGGAAGGTGGACACTCACATTCACCACTCAGCTGCCGCTCGTTTGGGCAAGTTTTCTTTCTTATATGAATTGAGCAATCGTGCGGGAAACGGCGCCCGGCTCCGAGGCCATGAATGCCAAGCACTTGTTGCGGTTCATGAAGAAGAAGCTGAAGAGATTCTCCTCCGACGTGGTCGATGTCACTTGCTTGACACTCTACTCTGGAACTGGAGTCTTCTCTCAGCATCAAATGCAGGACTCACATCCTTGTCTTGCATCACGCCTTGCTTCAAGCACCAGCGAGGTAAAGGATGGAAAGGAACGGACGCTCAAGACAGTCTTCGACGAGACTCGTTTCATACAGCGCTCGAGTTCTCTGATAATCGAAAGTCTTCCAAACATATGTGAACTACCCCACTTCTTAAGGACATGGGCATCGGCTGGACCGACCTGTGCATCGACCGTTTGCAGGACGGCAAAACATAGGTTGCATAACTGGCGGTGTGCACCTCTCACTTTAGCCGGCTGTGGCGCCAAGCTTAGGTGTGGGCGGATAAAAGCTGCCTTCATCGCTTCGATCGTTTCAACAACAAGAGACCTGGCAGAGATGAAAGACTGATGGCTTAGGGCAGTCCAGGACCCCGCCCGACCCCCACTCCCTGTGCATTCAGTTATAGTGGTGGCGTAGCATTACTTGCAGCAATAGCCGAACGGCTTGTGTAAGTAAGTACCTGCAGTTTGTTTGCCGTCTACATCTTCTGTTTCAACGCAGCTGCGTCACCGACATGGCCTTCTTCCATGTTGAGTAGTGTGTGCTGAAGGCAGAGGTACACGAGAAAGGCTGTGAATCCCAAAACACCTTCCTCCTCCGCCCTCTCCTCCGGGACGACTCTGTTTATTGCGCATGACCAATTCAACAGGCAGTTCTACTGTACCTGATAAAGTTAGGTTGACGGCATAGGAGTCTCTCGACTCCAGAAACAGTGGCTGAGCTTCGCGCCGGATTTCTCGATTCAAGGTATTCTCCAATGGGACAGAATGAGCTGCGCACGATTTTCCTCAAGACCGCTGCTTGGCTTTTTTGTGGTTCACTGGCCGCCCTGGTGTCGAAGAAATCGTTTCGTCAAACCAGCCCTCCACACCTACAGCTATAACATAGGCATACCGAAGGCGTGGAGCATGCCTCTCTTGCTACATCGAGATGTGAAGGTTCCATATTCCCCTGTGCAGGCAGATTGGGAACCGAGTGTTTCGAAGGCTTCGTCTGAGTGCATCAGAGGACAATGCGATGGGCGGTCGGTACCTCGCCGAGCTCACGACTGCAGCTTGTCATCAGCTCCCGTCGCCAAGCAGACCTCAAAACAATAACTTGTAGGGTCAATTGATGAGAAAGTGGATGTCTGAGCCGTCACGTGCCTTCGACGTGCATGGCAGCATGGCAAGGAGTTGATCTCCGACCTGGAAGAGTCGAAGTACCAACATGCAGAGTGGCGACTCTCCATCTACGGCCGCAGCTTGGGCTGACACTCCCAGCAGTCCCAGCATGCTTCAGCTGCCGTGCCCCCCCACTGAAATTTGACATGCTGTGCAGATCAGGACGTCCTAGCTTGTGCTAAGCATCGTGCACCAAGGTAAGATGTCGGAGTGGGAGAGCTTGAGCAAGTGGGTCCTTGGACGTGGCGGCAAAGGATGCATGGCCGGTGTAGTTCTTCCTTCGACTTGTTTATTTACCTTGTTGCGCAAGGGCCACAGCCGTGCAATGGCAAAGGATGTGGTAAAGCCCTACTCTCACCGAACATCCGATGGATGATTCAGATCCCACGGCTCTTTTCCTTGCAGCTCGGTAGCGAGCGGAGCGGCGTCAACCCAGTGGGGCAGAAAGTTCTGATCTTGAGAAGTAGTCAGGTACAAGTCAACCGGCCAGTTGGACAACTTCGGCCAGATGCCACCAGGCATGCAGAAAATGATCCGATTGCTTCGAGCCATTGTGACTGATGGCTCGTCTCTGGCCTCGTCTCGTGCGTCCAGTGGACTCAGCCGGTGCCGGCAGTGGAAGCGTTTCGACGACGTCGCGGGAGTTCGCTGGCGCGATCGATTGCCAGTTTCTAGCGATGCGTGGAGTGAGTTTGGATGCAGTGATAGCTGCACGCCCTGTGCCGCTGTTTTGCTTTTTCTGCCGCCTTCGGGCCTTCGGTGCGGCTTCTCTCGCTGCTGGAGCCGGTCATGGGACGATTGGGAAAGCAAACGGCACCGGAAACAACAATCTAACGGCTCATTGAATTTTGTGGCTGCAGGGCTGCAGCATGCGGTCTGTCGTATCACAAGAAAATAAGCCATTACACACGTGACCTTTCCTTCTGCCGAGTGTGTATTTCAAGGCCGGGGACTTGTTCCTGGTGCACATGCGTGGGCCCATCGAGGGTCTGAATGTCGCGCTGCGAGCCAAAGTCCCGAACCTCGCAACACTACATCATTGATGTTGTACTAGGGATGCCAGCATGCGGTGTGAGGCTTGGCTGCCGCACACCGATCCCCTCATGCGAAGCAGACTTGTTATTGACGTAGTGTGTTTTCGCTTCGGTTTTTCATGGTAAGTCGAAGTTCCCATGTCGTGGTGTGGTTTTGCATGTCGTGACGTGGTTGCTGCGCCGCGTCCCTCCCTCTCCCTCCCTCTATCTCCCTGTCCTCCTCCCCCCCTCGCTCGCTCCCTCCCCTTGTTTTACGGGAGAATGGCACGACCCGAGCGCTCCTGGGATTTTCTCGGCAGATGTTTTGGAAGCTGAAGATCTCGTTCAGGAAACCAGGCAGTGTATACGCATTGAGGGGAGCAGTAGCAACTGTTTCACGGCGGAGCCATCTCTCCAAGACCGAGGCTTGACAATATCTTCACTCCGCTCTTTGAGCCGAGCTCAGCCTTGCTCATGCCGCGCAGTCCGACTTTAAAGGGGAAGCTGCAGATTTTTTCAGTCTGAGGAAGCCACGCTCTTCCCAGAGAAGCATGCCGATGTTGCGGAGTTCATCCAGCACATCAGCGGCCAGGGGCTTGGTCTCTGGCCCGGGATGGGGCGCCGTGTCAAGTTTGGAGTTTTGGGCCTGAGTTCTACTGCCTGTGACTTGCGAGCGTTGCTCAAAAAGACGATCCCTCCTGCTAGCCGAGGCTTCGACACTGTAGACGACGAGAGCAAGTCTGAGAAACCGGTTGACCGGACTTTCTCGTCAAAGTCCCGGCCGCCACATCTCTGGGACATTGGGGACAACCCGCAGAAGCCTCGGAGGATCCTGCTTGGTCCTTGACGCGTGTGTCCGACAGTCTGTGGAGTGGGAAATGGTGCCGAAGCTGAGGTCTTACAAGTACTATTCCTACTTCATCCAGACGAATCTGCGATTGCTGAACATGCTCAGACACCAGCAGCTTGGATGACTTGGTCATGGCAACTGCTGTGGTAAAGTGGGCGAGTCCAGCAAGTTG